AGAACTGCAGACTTTCTCTGTGGCTTCATGCAGTGTAATTTTAATACTTTTTTGCTAGTTTAGTAGGCATTTACTTAAGCTTTGAAATTTCTTTAATGTACTTACTTTAGGAGGTAGTGAAGATGTGATGATTTGGTTTTAATATTTTCTCAGTTAAAATCAAATGCTCTTAAAAAAAAAAAAAATCTCCTTCTAGAAAAAGGAACTCTCCTGCACTGTTGGTGGGAGTGCAAACTGGTCCAACCACTGTGGAGAGCTGTGTGGAGATTTCTGGACCTACTAAACATAGAGCTTCCATACGATCCAGCAATTCCACTCCTAGGTATTTACCCAAAGGATACAGAAACGTCAATTCCAAAGGGCACCTGCACCCCTATGTTTATAGCAGCACTGTTCACAATAGCTAAGCTTTGGAAACAGCCCAAATGCCCAAAAATAGATGACTGGATCAAGAAGATGTGGTACATATACACCATGGACTATTACTCAGCATTCAAAAAAGATAAACACATGCAATTTGCAGCAACATGAATGGAGCTGGAAGGGATCACGCTCAGCAAAATAAGCCAGAAAGAAAAAGAAAAATACCGGATGGTCTCACTCATAGCAGGAATCTAGAAAACTTAAATAAGGGACCAGGAAAATGAATAACTATAAGAAAGTGAAAATCAAAATCAACAAGCAACTATGAACCAGAGACACTCTATGGGGAATGGGGGGCGGGGAGGGGAGGGATTGGGGTCAAAATAAGGGGGTTGCAATTGTATGGGGAATATAAAAATAAAATTTATTTAAAAAAAATCTCCTTCTAACTTGAACCTGAATGTTTATATCTTATCATTTTATCAGTTTTTTTCACATGGTTGGCATGTAAACTTTTATTCATATACTTTAATCTTTTCCCATATGTTATTGCTGGATTTCTATTTGTTTCATTACTTTTTGTGGTGCAAACCTTCTTCATCTGTATTTACATTTTTATACTCAACTATACCATCTCTGACAATATCCTTTATTTTCTTGGCTTGAAATTATCTCCTTGTTTACAAATGGGATAAATTTATTATTCAGCTTTTTTCTAGTTTTATTAATACTTTTCTTGGATCAATCTGGACCTTATTGTACTGCTAGTTATAAGATGAAGATCTAGCTTATTTTTCTTCTATACTAATGTCTAACTCTGTCTGTAATTTTATTTCCCCCCACTTTTGTGTTTCTTGTGGCTTGACATATATTACACAATTATCATAGAATGAATATATTTTTGGACTCTCCTTTCTACTACCACTTCTTTTTAAAAATTTAACCCAAGTCATGAATTTCATTTGTAGTCTAACGATAATTTAGTAAAGCACCCCTATCACCACTACTTGAAAAAGTGTTATTTCGCCTTCTGTCCTCATATTCCTCCAGTTGCATTTCACCATCCATTGGTACAGGTCTCTAATTTGTTTGATTGCTTGACTGCACTTTTGGTCCTATGAAGGCAAATGCTTTGGGTAATCATCTTAGTGAGGGTGTGGCAGGTTTAATGAGAAATGAAGATCAAGGTTAGAAAACTCCTAAGAGTAAATTACCTTAGCACTAACCCCAGCCTATAAACCATCTCTGTACTCTGATCACAAAGAACCATTCTCTGTGCTTTGCTCACAAAGGAGTTGAGAAGTTTTTTTTTTTTTAAGATTTATTTATTTATGCATACAAGAACTGGGGTATAGCCAGAGGTGCAAAGGGTGAGAGGATTCATGAGAAACAGAGTGGGGAGCAGAACAGGCAGATCTACTGAAATATACTGCTGAGGGGAGCAGTGGGTGAATCAGGAGAGGTCTGCTGTGCCATGTGTGTTGGCTCCCTGGCTGGACATCGAACTCGTGTTCCAGTGGCTGCGGATAGCTTCATAGGTTGTGTCCCAACCCCTTGTGCCACCAGGGAGGCCCCAGGAGGTATTTATTAGTATAAATTTGTCATTAATGAAAGAAGCTGTTTAGAGCACCTGCCACAGAGAGTGAACTTTACATGTGAAAGAAAGTTTATTATAGGACCAATATTTAGACATTAATAAAGTCAGAGGGAAGGAAGCATTAACCATTAGACTGGGGTCTTTATTTTGCATGGGGGAGTTTAAAAAGGGTCTTCTGAGTGTGTTCAGAATTGTTAGAACTACTTGCTATCCCCTTGGGTAGTGCCCCCAGGGAAGGGTCTTACGCTGCTTCAGAGACCAGCCCAGTGTCAAATGGAAGATGCCCTTGATGTTTGTAATAGAATCCTTCCCTCTGTGGGGACATTTGTCTGTTGGTACCAAAACTTTTTCCTTTGGATTATAGATTTTTATGACACTACCCAGTGACTCCAGAAAGTGAGTATGAATGTTTGGTTTATGACATTTTCTTCAAAAGAGTCGAAAACTCTTGACAATGGAATTTTATCTTAGAGATACTTCATAAATGCTTTCACTTTTTTTTTTTAAATTTTATTTTATTCTTTATTTATTTTTTTTTAATAGAGGCATGTTTTATTTATTTATTTATTTGTTTGTTTTTTTTGTTTATACATGCACTGGGTACAGTCAGAAGCGCGGGAGGGTGAGAGAATTCACCAGAGCCAGAGCGGGGAGCAGAGCAGGCAGAAGGACCAAGGTACACTGCTGAGGGGAGCAGCAGGCGGCAGGAGAGGTCTGCGCACCATGTGGGACCCTCCTCCGGAGGCCGGGGAGCAGCCGGGGATCGAACCGGCGCCGCAGAGGCCGCGGGCAGCTTCGCAACCCAGCGCTCAACCGCTGCGCCACCGGGGAGGCCCGATAAATGCTTTCACTTTATAGCTGTTTTACATTTTTCTCCAGAAAAATGCTGTACTTGAATATTTTCCTTCTGGTGCTAATTTCTTGGTCCTTACTAGTTGGCTAATATATATATTTTTAACAGATTATCATCAACCTGTGTGGCTGTCTGACTCACTGTATTCTTCCTTCTGCTTTCCCTCCAATTATAAAATAAAATAATTGAGATAATAGGAGATACATGTAGCACACAGAGCTTTTGGCTTATAAAAGATAATTACCAACATTTAGGTAATGCTTTACAGCATAGATTGTTTCACTGAACTTCACGAAACCCCGTGAGGTGGGAATTACTATCACAGCCACATTTATAGAGAAAAAAACCTGAAGCTTAGAGACTGGTAGACAACCTGCTGTAGTTAACAGATCTAGTTAGTGGAAGTTCAGGACTTATGGTTACAGATGTCTTATTTTCCCCAATACACCTTCTGGTTTGAATTCTTTAAAATTACAGTGTGTCGAAAGAGAATGGAGGTATTATTTTGTATCTCAGTGTGTGATACTTAATAGTACCATAATATGTGATGCTATTATAGGGATGCAATATTATTTTCCTTAGAGGTTATAACTATGCAAAAGAGTGCATTATTAAAGAATAGCCTTTGAAAGTATTTATGTAATTTTTTAAGTGAATGTGCTATGTTGTTAAAGAATTTTTCAGATGATCTCATAAAGGGGGAAAAAGGTACCTGGAAATATAAGCTAAATACTGTAAATCTTCATTTTTTTTTTTGAATGTTATTTTCCAGTCAGATCTGAAAAATTTTATTCGCAAAGTGTTTGTTGCTAGTGTATAAATTGGAATTGATGACCCGGCTAAATGCACTTATTAATAGATTACTCAGGATTTTCCTTTTAGACCATAATGTCATCAGCAAATCAAGACCAATTTATTTTTCTTTCTGTTCTCTATGCCTTTCCCTTTACTTTGCTGCACTGTGTGTGTCACACTAATGAGCACATATTTAAGCTCATGCTTTTCTAACATTCTTATGGCGATAAGGCTCCTTTGCATGTGACCTGCAAACCTAATTATGATTTTGGGGAATATTGGTTTAGAAATTCTTTTTAATAAACAATCGAGTTGTTGGAACTTTAAAAATTATTGTTCATGCATTTGTAATAATCATCAGTACCTATTTCAATTTGTACTTTGTGCTCTACTGAAATACAGAGTGAGGAATTTTGAAAGGCATTTGTTGTCAATTTTGACAGGTATTTAAAGCTTTTTTTTCTTTTTTATCATTTGGAGTGGGGAGACTAACAGGAGCCTAACAAAAATGCATTTCTTCTGAGGAAGTGATGACTAATTTTATAAACTAAGTTTATAGAGAAGTAGGTTAAACAATCGAGAGAAAAGGAGAGATGAAATTGGGGTAGAAAACCAAAATATGGGTACTATCCTTGACTGCTCATCATCGCAGTGTATAATTAAATAATATTTAAAATGTTGTAGAGAAGAATACTAAGAAGAATACATTTAGATGTACCGGACATTTCCAGCTGTGTGAACTTGGGCAAGTGACTTTTCCTTTATTTTTTAAAGATCGTGCAATGGAAATAATAGCAAGCAGCCCGCAGTGTTGCTAGAATTAGAAGTAATGTCCTTCAAGCCCCTGGCACATGTCAGACCCACAATAATGTGGAGCTGTGATTGTTCTAGGATGCTGTCTTTTATCATTTACTGATTATGTTATTATTTATTTATTTAATACTGTATTTCATTAATGGGTACCATCAAATATCATGTGTCACCAAAGGAAAGGAACAGTATTTTTGAAGAACAATATTTTTGAAGAACCCTGTCCTGCTAAAAGAATGTGAAACTATTTTCCTGGGGACTTGTTCTGATGAACGAGGAAGAGCAAAGGCAAAACACTGCAGTGATGGTGGAGGGTCACCGGCCAATCTCCTTCCCTCCCTCTCTTTCCTTACCCCAGTTTGGAGGGTCAGATGATCACGTTTATTTCACTGGGCCTCTGAGGAGCTCAATAACTGAGAGACTCCTGCAGTGGCTGTGGAGCCCTTGGAGTCCCGGGCAACTGGGAGGCCCTTTGCCAGGCTTTGTCTTTATCATTTGCCTTCCTTCTCTCCCCCTTTTTCTGTATCTAGTTTACTTGGTTAGGTCCCTTGGCTAATGTTGTAATCTGTCTCTTTCTTCTAGAATTCTGAAGGTGGACTCTATGTATGCATGAATACATTTTTGGCCTTTGGAAGGGAACATGTTGAAAGACATTTTCGAAAAACTGGACAGAGTGTATACATGCACCTGAAAAGACATGTGCGAGAGGTGAGATAAATAGATATAGAGACTGACCTTGACATCTTCCCGGTAATGTCGTAATGTGGTTTATCACGTGGAGATTTTACTATGTCCACAGAACTTCTGCTTCTCTGTGATGATGAGAAACAAAAACAGCACTGTTGCAGAAATCCATACACTTCCTCAAACCTTATCTTAGCCAGTTTTATATTTCTCTAAAACTCTGATTAGAGTTACGAAGACATGGGTTGACTGGTTGAAGGAAATTAAGTTAAAAAATACAGCAAAGTACACAAAATAATGCCAAAAGCATTTATAGAGTGAAAAATCAGAAATAAAAAATATTGGGATTTTTTTGCTTCAGATTTTGTGTTTTTAGTGAGAGGAAAGAGCTTTCTCGAAAGTTCTTTTGTACCCTCCCTCCCCAGAAAATCAGAAATAAAAAATATTGGGATTTTTTTGCTTCAGATTTTGTGTTTTTAGCAAGAGGAAAGAGCTTTCTCGAAAGTTCTTTTGTACCCTCCCTCCCCAGAAGTAGCCTCTGCTGTGAATTGTTTCTCATTCTTATGCATATCATTATATTTTATTTACATATGGACATTCATGAACAAGATATAGTATGCTTTTCTGTGTTTTAAAGATGTCGATAAACAATATCATTCTTTACCTGTAATCCTTGTAAAATATACCTTCAATAGTACTTTTGAAATCTATGTTGCCATTGGAGGTGTTGTGGAGCAGACCCCATATAAAAGACATCCTTTTCCCCCTAACAGAGGTACTTAATTCATTTTAATAGTTGTTTGGTATTCCATCTTATGAGTATTTTGTCATTTATTGTTGTTCTCCTGCTGATGAATATTTAGATTGTTTCTTTCTTTTTCTTTTTTTTTTTTCTCTTTTCTACAAACAATGTAACAGTTAACTTTTTTTCCTTGTACATTTCCCCTGGGGGTATATGTGCAAGATTTCTTTAGGAAATATCTAGAGGTGCTAATGCTGGCTCATTGTATGCTTATTTTCATCGCCAAATCCCTCCCCAGAGCCAGTTGCACCAATTTCTACTCCTGTTTGTGGTGCTGTGAATATCTGTTTCTCCATACTCTTGCCAAACCTTGGTCATTCCTTTAATTTTTTTATTTTATTTTATTTTTTTTTAATTCTTTTTTTTTTTTTTTTTTTTTTAATTAGAGGCATGTTTTTATTTATTTATTTATTATATTTGTTTGTTTTGTTTATACATGCACTGGGTATAGTCAGAAGCGCGGGAGGGTGAGAGAATTCACCAGAGCCAGAGCGGGGAGCAGAGCAGGCAGAAGGGCTGAAGTACACTGCTGAGGGGAGCAGCGGGTGGCAGGAGAGGTCTGCGCACCATGTGGGATCCTCCTCCGGTGGCCGGGGAGCAGCCGGGGATCGAACCGGTGCTGCAGAGGCCGCGGGCAGCTTCGCAACCCAGCGCTCAACCGCTGCGCCACCGGGAGGCCCAAGAACCAGGGTGCAGGCCAGAGTTGCAGGAGGGTGAGTCACCAGAGACAGAGCGGGGAGCAGAACAGGCAGATGGACTGAAAGCACAGCTGAGGGGAGCAGCGGGTGAGGTAGTGTTATAGAGCAACCCCGATATTAAAACGGGTTCCTGGCTGTGGGTCCTCACCCGTGCGCTTTAAAGGGACTTACGAATACTCTACTACACACACACAAAAGGTTAATAAAAGGTTTATTTACAAGAGAAAAGGAAATAAGGAAAATGTACAACTCACGGAGAAAATAGGGAAATAAAGTCTTTAATGCGTCCTACCCGATCCGATGACCTGGAAACCCAAAGTCACTCTCCGAGCTGGCCGGACGAGCTGGCGGAGAGCCAAAATGGGGGATCCCCAAAGCCCACGTGTCTGCCTTTTGTATCCACCTGGCTGCTTAACCCCACCCTCAGGTCCCAGCCACCTTCCCTTTGGTGGTGATGGGATTTGGAGTTCCCAGTGTCTTTGGCTTTGACCTGGGGTGGGGGTGGAGTCCACAAAGCCTATATGGAATTTGCTTTGGGACATCCTTTTCCCCCTAACAGTAGGAGAGGCCTGCCATGCCATGTGGAATTCTCCCTGGCCAGCTGCGAATCGAAGCCACGCTGCAGAGGCTGAGGACAGCTGCACAGTGCTGCGCTCAACCTGCTGTGCCCCGGGGTGGGAGTGGGGGGAGCCCATTCCTTTAATTTTTACCAGTCTAATGAAGTTGCATCATCCTATTTGGTAGCCCTTTCTGTGAGGGTTGAATGCCTTGGCCATTCTTGTTTTCTCTGCTTGGCCTTTTTATATTTTTGACATGTCCCTCTGTGGATTTATCTTTTTTCTTAAAAGTTTGATTAGTTCTCTTTAACTTCTGGATACCAAGAATTTGTCAAGTTTTCTTTTAAGCTCATTTATGGAATTATCAATATTTTGTGGAAGAGAGATTTTGATTTTTGATGTAGTTAGATTTATTAAGCTTTCTCTTTTAGGTTGTGGTTTTTTTCGTAGCTTACTGAGAAAATGTTACCCAACTCAGAGTCTTAAAGACATTTCTTGTAATGCTTTTTTATTTTTTAGAAAAGTTTGTGCATTGAACATTTTAGGCCTTTAATTTATCTGTAATTTATTTTTTTGTATTTGTATAAAGTGTGGGGATCTGATGCTTTTTTCCCATATTGATTGCCAGTTGTCCTGTCCTAGAGAAGTGCAGCCTTTCCTGATGATTTAAAGTGTCATCTTTCTTACATTTTACTATTATTTTTTTAAATTTATTTTTGCATAGAAGAATGGAGGTGTAGCCCAGAGTTTGGGAGGTGGGGTGAGAGGATTCACCAGAGACAGAGTGGGGAGCAGAACAGGCAGACAGATCGAAAGCACTGCTGAGGGGAGAAGCGGGTGAGACTGGAGAGGTCTGCTGCACCATTTGTGGGTTAGCTCCCTGGCTGGCGATGGAACTCAGGCTATAGTGGTGATAGCGCAGAGACACGTTGGGCTCCAGCTGTTATAGGGCAGCCCCGATATTGAACGGGTTGCCTGGCTCTGGGTCCTCACCCGTGCGCTTAAAAGGGACTTATTAATACTCCACTACAGGCACACACAAAAGGTTAATAAAAGGTTTATTTACAAGGGAAAAGGAAATAAGGAAAATGTACAACTCAGGGAGAAAATAGGGAAATAAAGTCTTTAATGCGTCCTACCCGATCTGCCGACCTGGAAACCCAAAGACACTCTCAAAGCTGGCCGGTAGCTGCGAGCTGGCTGAGAGTCAAAATGGGGGACCCCTCCAAAGCCCACGTGTCTGGCTTTTATACCAACCTGGCTGCTTAACCCCACCCTCAGGTCCCAGCCACCTTCCCTTTGGTGGTGATGGGATTTGGAGTTCCCAGTGTCTTTGGCTTTGACCTGGGGTGGGGGTGGAGTCCACAAAGCCTGTATGGAATTAGCTTTAGGACATCCTTTTCCCACTAACAAGGCCACCAGGGAGGTCCCCATCTTTCTTATATTTTAACTTGCCATTCACAATTGAGTCTACCAGTTTTGTTTTGTTGACCTTATTTATGTGACTCTGCACTGATGTGGCAAACCTTGCTATCTAGTAGTGCACTTTTTTCCATGTTGATTTTTTACCAGAATTTTCTAGGTGACCTTCATTTTTCTGTAAGAATTTTGGAATAAGTTCATCTAGTTAAAAAATCCTGTTAAGATTTTGATAATGATCACATTGAATTTATAGATTCATCTACAGCCCACATCATGGTATAACCTTCAAGAAGGCAGGCATTTTTGTCTGTTTTGTTTACTTCTGTGTCCTCAACACTTAACCATTTATTGCCCAGAGTAAGTGCTTTATATTGCCTTATTGAATGTCTATTCAACATAGTATACCTCTGTATTTATTCAGGTCACTTTTACATTCTTTAATAATATTTTGTAGTTTTCAATATAGGAGCTTATGCTTTGTTAGATTATTTTCATGTACCCAATAATTTTTGTAATTATTGTTTTTAATTTTTTATGTATTTTAATTGGTTATTGATGGTATTTGGGGCTATTCAAATGATGATTATGTGTTTAGCTACATGACTCAAGTTTCACTTTAGTTCTAACAGTTTGTGACTATCTTGGATCTTCTAAATAGTTGATATTGATTTGAATTTCATCTACTCTTTCACCCTGGGCTACCTATATGTTCTCTGTTAAGTTTCAGACAAAGGAAGGATCTCAAAATTGAACATTGAGGAGTAGGAGGAAGAGGTGGCCAGATAAGCCATAAAAAATACCCAGGTGGCCAGATAAGCCATAAAACCTATGATTAGCTTGAAAATAATCTAACGTTGACCTAATACTATATGATTTACATTTACTACTTCTGGTACAAAGTACTCTTTTGAAGTCTGCTTCATTCCATAAGTCTTAGTGTAAAGTGATGAAATTTTAGGAAACTGGGAGAAAAATGAAAGTGCAATTTAGAGACTTGAAATAACTTGCTTAGGGTAACAAAGTTAGTGGCAGAATTGTAGAATGCTGGCATTGTTAGCTCTGCCTCTGAAACTTTAAGTTAAATATTTTACTCTCTGGCTATGCCCTCTTTCATTTTAATTCTCACTCATTTATCCTCAATTTGATCTGTTTTCTCTTCTTAAGTTCTCCAAATTTGTAACTTGTTCTCTGCCTGGGATGCCCTGCTTCTACCCTCACTCTTCTTTACCTGTTGTAGTGCTCGTGGTCACAATATCCATCCAACATCCATCCATCCATCCATCCATCCATCCATCCATCCGTCCATCCATCCATCATCTGTCTATACATCATCCATTTGTCAATCCAACAAATATTTGCTGAGCAGCTGCTATATGTCAAACCTGCTACCCTTTTTACCTGCTAACCCTGTCCACACCCTCCAGAAGAACTATTGTTTTCACCTTATGATATGATCACCTTTTTTCATGTCTCCCTTGACCTCACCAGAATCTGTTATGCCATGTGTGTATGTATATATTCCTCTATTACACTGTGGGCTTCCCAGGAGACGGAGTGTGTCTACATTCACTTTGAAACCTGAGCATCAGTACAGATTCTAAACATAGGTCAGTTTTCTTTGTTGACTGTGGAATTACAGTTTCTCAAACAATGTTGATTTCTAGTAGTGAATGACAGAAGTGCAAACAATGGTTAAGATCTTTGGAAGGAAAACCTAGCTTGTTTTTTTTTTTTTTTTTTTTTTTTTTCTGAAAGGGAGTGAATCAAATCCAAGGCTAAGGTGTGAATCCTGACATCAGAGAGAGCCTCCTGTTCTATAGCATTCATGCAGAGCTTCTCCTTTCTCCTTCCACCATCAAATGGAGGGGGACAGTGAGGTTGGAACAGTGAAAAGGATACCATAAACTTCTCTTTCAGTAGATTTCAGGTGACTTTCAGGATTCTTATGTATGGAATGCTAAATGTGTTTTTGATATAGGTTTTATTTCATCTCTTTTTGAGACAGATGAGTGGAAAGGAGAGGAGAGGCTCAGACCTTGAAGGAGAGGGATTCTAATGTGAATTAGGCATTAGATTTGGAAAGATAGGTTTTTGAGCTAAAGTGCTCAATAATTTTCACATTCTTAAAATGTGAACTATAAACATTTATAGTCAAGCTATAAAAACTTAATGTGCAAATCATAGATGAGTCAGCCTTCAATGCCAAATAATGAAATGTGGGAGAGGAGACTTAGGACTGATAGGAAGGAAGACAGACTAAAGAGGCAGCATGGCCTTGATGCCACCATAATAGGTGGATGGGAAAGATGGTAGAGTATGTTGGAAATCTACATTTTATTAATAACTGAAAAAACGTTCTGTGTGGAAATATGGTTTTGGGGATGTGAAAACAAAAATTTGTATAATCCTATTTGAGAGTAAAATTTTATTTTCTAAACTATTGTGTCAGAAGAGTGATGAGTGCTTTTGTTGCATTGCCATTTGAAGGAAGTGTATTTCGTTGCTGATGGGGACTTGAATCATAGATAGAAAATACAGGGAGCTTACAATGGTAAAGTAGCCATCAATTGGTGTTCCAAAAATGCTTAGGGAGGTTCCACTGAGGTTTAATATGTCTGGTGACTGTGTATCAATGTGTATCAGTGACTGTGTATCAGTGTTTATTAAATCTTACAACAATAATTCTTGAGTATGCCCAGAGCCCAAAAGCCTCCCTCCTGGAACCTCTATCATCTTGCAGAGTAGCTCAATTGTTGGACATGGACTCCGGGCTCTTGGGAGGTTGTGCTGATTTTTTTTTTTTAAATTTTTGTGTAGAAGAACAGGGGTATAGGCCAGAGGTATGGGTGGTGAGAGGATTCATCAAAGACAGAGTGAGGCAGATCTATTGAAATACACGGCTAAGCAGAGCAGCAGGCAAGTCAGAGAGGTCTGCTGTGCCATGTGGGTTAGCTCCCTGGCTGGGATTGAGCTCAGGCTGGGATTGAGAGCACTGAGACTTAACACCTAGGCCACCAGGAAATTCCCTGATTTGAAGTTGAAATGGCTACTTCACCTTAGTCCCTGGTTCTACTTCCCTTTTCAGGACTAATTTCTTTATAACTTGGTAAAAATAATCAAGTTGAACAATAGCATTTTCCTTCACCTACCTCCATTAACCTAGTCAAGTTCCTGTTTATCCTGGAATCTCTAGTCCAGGTAGAATACTTGCTCTTGGCCCTTTATAAAATCTGGAAACCTTTGAGGTGTATTTTCACCTCCCAAGCACCTCCTCCCCCCACCTTCAACTGATTGTCTATTACATAGGCTGCATTTTAACTATCTTGTTTTCTTTTCAGAAGGTAAAAGGGGCATCTGGTGGAGCTTTACCAAAAAGGAGGAATTCCAAGATTTTTTTAGGTAATGTAAACAGTTCTCAATAGCATGTCCAGATTTTCTGAGTGTGTGTGTGTGCATGTGCATGTGCCTGTGCATGTCATTTGGAGTAGTGGGTTGCTTATTGCTCTACAGTTTAAAGATGAGGGGTACAGATTTAAATCAAGAGGATCTGCCTCTACTTTTGTTTACCTAGTGGTGAAGGATGCTTTTAGCACTCTGTTGGGTTAGTGTTTTGAAGGGATTATACTTATAATGATGAGAGTATTTGTGGTTCTGCTTCTAGTTTTTTTTTTTCATTGCCTTTAAAAAACAGTTTTTCTTTTTTAATATTAACCCTGCTGTTATCTTTTTTTCAATTTTACCTGCCCCCACCTCCCAATATCTTTTCTTTTAATTACAGGATTCAATCCAGGATCCTGTGTTGCATTTAGTTGTCATGTTTCCTTAATCCTTTCCAACCTGTAGCAGTTCCTCAGACTTTATCTTTAACAACTATGACACTTTTGAAGAGTACTGGCCAGTTATTTTGTAGCATGTACCTCCTTTGGGTTTGTTTGATGTTTCCTCAGGGTAAGTTTGAAGCTCTGCATTTTTGGCAAGGACAGCACAGAGGTGATATGTTCTCCTCAGTGCTGGATACCAGGGGCCACATGATGCTGATCTGTCCTCATACTGATGAAGTTAACCTTGAGCCTTTTAAATTGGTGTCTGCTGGGTTTCTCCAATGTATTTTTAGTGTAACTAACAAATATTTTGGGAGTGCTACTTTAAAACTAGGCCTAGTATCTTGTTTCTCCTCAGAGTTTTGTCCCTAATTTTTAAAAAGATTTATTTATTTATTTAATACAAGAACTGGGGTGTAGGCCAGAGGTGTGGGGTGAGAGGATTCACCAGAGACGGAGTGGGGGACAGAACAGGCAGATCTGCTGAAATACACTGCTGAGGGGAGCAGTGGGTGAGACAGGAGAGGTCTGCTGCGCCATGCGGGTTAGTTCCCTGGCCGGGGATAGACCTCCTGTTGCAGTGGTTGGTGATAGCTTGATAGCTCTGTGTCTTTAACCCCTGCACCAGAGTTTTGTTCCTAATTTTATCCATAAGTGAATTTTGCCTCCAACAGTAATCCTTGGTTTTTGTTTAACAGTCATTTTTCTGCCTCCCTCATTGAGAAGAGCCAGTTTTGCTTATGCAGATGAGTACTTGTTTCTATGCCATGTAATCATTATCACATTCCTTATTAAGCTTCTGCTATAGTTTCCTCAGAAGAAAAAGTATTTTGATAATGTTTGATCAAGCACATTTATATTGCTAATTTCCTGGGATTATTGTTTGAAAGGAATATCAAAATTGGCATTTTGGTACCAATTTTGTAATAAATCCTTATACACATACATCCGTGTGCATTTGTGTGCATCTATGTAAATATATGTGTACATGTGCATCTGTTTGTATATATGTGCATATATGTGTCTGTGTGTCTGTATGTGTGTTTGCTACACATGTACACATATAACTAGGAAGAGTCTGGCAGAACATACTCTGAATTGTTAATAGAAGCTCTTTCCTAGTGGGCAATTAAGGTAATTTTTATTTTCTCCTTTCTGCCTTTTAAAAAATGCTTTTTATAACAAACATATATTACTTTTATGCTAAAAAGACACACTACTTGTTTGAAAGGTAAAGACATTTGGGATAGTCTTGGAGCTGTTTTCTTCCTGCTGTGATTCTCCATTACTCCACGTTGGGCCCAGCCTGCTTCTTCTCTCCTTATTTCGGCTGTTGGTTTTCTTTATGAGGTTTTATCCTCAGTAGTTTTTCTACCCTGGCCAATCTTTCATACTTCTTGGCATGTCCTTGCACCATTACCCCAATCAACCAAGTGAATCCAAACTAGCGTAGAATGAACTCCAAGCTGAAATGATTGAATGGTTTTTGATTCTGGATATTATCCTTCAGTTGCCTTCACTAATGTAGAGAATGTAACTTCCTTTTCTTCAGTATCGAGAATCTTCCCATTTTCTGCCTTAGCTCCATCCTGATCTTTGATTTCCAACCTCATGATCATTTCATAGTCCAAAACGGCTGCTGGAGCACTAGTCATCACATCTCCATTCCAGAAGGCAGGAAAGATGAAGGGGGATGGAGAAAAATTTAATCTCCCTCAGAATCAGCTTCCTTTGGTCAGTCTTTCATAGGGTCCCCAGGCAGCACTTCAGTTTATACCTCTCCGGTCAGCACTTAATCACACGGCACATTCCTGCTGCACAGGAGACTGGTAAGCAGTCTGTTCCCTTCTTTGAGTAGTCTGTCACCAAGGAAGAAAGAGAGAATGGATATTGGAGGCAGGGAGAAGTTTTTGCCATGGATTTCCTTCTTCAGAGGGATATTCGATTTTCTCTTCTGGGGTGGGAAGAATTCAGAACTTTCTTTCAGTCTCTGTTTTTCCTACTAGAGAGTAGTTTTTCATAGCTATTGAAGTGTAGTTATTGTAAGACAGATGTAGATGACTAATGCTTTCATCCTGGATAGAGGCATTACCTCCCACCCTCTCCCCACCCCCCACATTCACTTGCCAACTGTGAATAACTGCTTTTCGGTTGACTCAAGAATGACATTGAAACCATTGAATCATTCACTTATGACCTTCAATATTGATTTCATAAGGGAAATTGAGGTGTTGGCTGGTGCTGAATGACTTAACCCAGTCTTCTGAGTACCCCCAACAGACAAGTTGTTCTTGATGTTTGCACAAGTGAATTCACAATTAAGGATCCTTCCCTCAGCTCTAGCTTTTGTTAATATATTTTTTTAAATCAACAACTACAGTTATTGGTAGTTTTTTCATCATTTAAATTCTATGCTTCTTTTATATTTAACATTTAAAATATATTTTTGAATGTGTAACATGGACAAAGTTTAAAATTGGAAAGTTATAAAAAAGGATCTTAGTGAAAAATAAATTTCCTTCTTTTCTCTTTCCCAGCCACTTTGTTACTTTCACTAGAGATAAACAGTATTTTGTTTGTACATCTTTACATATTTTGTATATCTTTGTAATGATAGTCTACACATCTAACATGCTTTTAGATTTTTTTTCTGTACGCACTGGATTCCTAAATTTGGTTTACAAACTGTGCCTGGAGGCACCCTGGGGTGCTCTGATGAACTCACAGGTGCAACATGGCATATTTTAAGTCTTCAAAGGAACACAGTGATATGCCAACATTACATGATGTAGTTTTGTTGTTAGAGTATTCCATATTCCTTTCAATGACTTCATTTCTTTGTGAAGCTGGATTTTTGGTTATTTCTATGTGAAAATCAATGTGGAATAGGAAATAAAGTAGTTTCCAATCTTATCCAAAAAGGAGTTATAGAGTGCCCAAAACTACACACATTTCATGTGCAAGGAATTGTGGTTGCTTAACAATGAAATAAAACTTTTTTTCCTTTTATTTTATGTGCATTATTTTTTCAAATGGTTATTAAGTTGTTAGAGCATAAAGTATTACCTATTTGTTTGGACCTAAGTACTAAATAAAAAGAACCATTTGGCACTTATTTCTAAGATTCATATGTTGTGTGACTATGTACTACTAGATATGAAGTGTTGAATAGCTCAGCAATGGATATCAATAAAGTGGGGTGATTGGGATGTGATGGCTGAAGTTGGTATTTGGGATTTCATTTGTGTTAATACAAAAATATAACTTCAAACTACAAAAAAAATAAGATAACACAAATCATGAGTGTTTTTGAAATTTGGGAGGATTCTGTGAAACATTTGGCTTTCCTGCTGAGTCTAGGTAGATTACTGACATTAATAAATCATGTAATTGTATATAAGAAATTTTCTTTTTTATGTCTAAATAATGATTTAATTTGGTCATACAAACACAGTTTCATAATATTGAACATCTGGTAGATGCTTGTATTATGATAAGTTCTGATTGTAGGCATTTCTTTTGCTTTAGAGCTGCTGTGGAAAAATTGCTGGGATGTTTAAGAGTCTGTGAATGAGTGTAGAAATTCTGAATTAGTGATTTTAAGATCCAAAAAGGACACTATTATGTTGTCTCTTTGAGAAAGATAGTTTAAAACAATATGAAAGACTTTGAATTTTGGGAATAAACTGGCATAATACTCATTGTTTGATGTGATAGAAAGAAGTGGGGGGGCATGAGGGAGTCTGATCTTCAGCTAAGTCCCAACAAAGGTCTTCAGACATGATTCCTGCTTAATCTCATGTTTTTTACAATACAGACAAAAATGTGTACAGATGTATAAATAGCTGCACTGCATTTAATTAAAAAACCATGTTTTTGAGAAGTCAAGAAAGTGTTACATATTTGCATTTTTATTGGCCTTTATTCCCCTATCTTTCACAAAGAGGCATAAATGAGTCGAGTTCTGTGTGAAGACTGAGACAACTTAACCTCGGAGAGTTTAAATTCCACTTTTTATTTTTTGGCTTTAGCCCTGCTGTTCATATTTGAGAAACAGGTTGCAAACAGAATACTTGTGGAAAGTTCCAGAAATGGACCTGTTCAGAAATTTATCTGTGTCTATAATGACCAGAAGTTTCAAATATATTCCATTTTATGATTTCCTTCTGCAGTTGGTGATAGAATAGGTTTTGTGCTCAGGGGACTTTTTCCTGTACCTTCTCGTCAGGGTAAATGGTTGGTCAGGTTTCACAGTCCTGAAAGAGCCAGACTGCTCTCCTTCAGCATGTAAACTAAAGTCAGTGTGGTCAGGCTGAGAAAACTGAGCTGGGCATTAGAGCCCTGGTATTATTGAGGGATTTGTTCCTCCATGGTGTTCCTTCATAGCTTAGCAGGTTACCTCTGGAAAAATGGGTGTGATCCCAACTACTCTGACAGGGATCTGACAGAATCACTGAAGTAAAGCTGGAGAAGAGGTTTTTAAGAGAATTTTTTTTTTAACTTTGAAAAAGAGTCTATCCAGGTATTACCACTTAAAAGTCATAGTGGAAATGATTGGGAGAAGTTGGGGGTCATGTCCTGCTGCCCTGTAGGGTGTGGTTACTCTGTAGATTCCTCAGGTAGGAACTAGGTGTGAGACTCTACTTAGAGAAGTTTGGAAATAGATTCCTACTTAGGATTGTGGGGTCATATACTTGTGTGCATGTATAATAAGTATATATATATATATGTGTGTGTGTTTATATATATTATGTGTATATTTTGTGAAAAACCTTACATTTTGCCCTTAAAATCAGAGTCTAGCTTATCTCTGCTGACTTTTCCCTAACTGCATTTAAGATGTTTGGGAAAGATCATTCCCTTTCATCCTATTGAATTTAAAATAAAAAGATAATACTAAGTGTGAAGAAGTCCAACAAAGTTGTGGGTTTTTTTTTTCATGATAACAATCTTACTTTTTTTTAAACACATGGCATTTGCTAATTAAAAAAGAACCAAACCCATAATAACACTTTCGATGCTCTTGCTGTGCCATTGTCCATGGCACCTTAGAATTAACTTTCCAAAGTCTCCTATCATAGACGTTACTGAGTGTGTGGTGTGTGCCTGGCGCTGTGCAAGGGCTAGTGATGCGGAAGGCGAATAACACCTGTTTCCTGCTTTTACCACTTACCACCTAGTAGTTACCTTCTCCACATTCAGATCACATAGAAGATTGCCACATAATATCATGGTCTTTCTGAAACTTATGTTAGGATTGCTTTGGAGCTTGGGCAGCAAAGGGAAGGGAAGGTGCCTTTAACCATGCTTTTTGTCAGGAGATATGGTGTTGCTGGTGCTGATGATAGTGATCACGACTACTTTATGTGGAACCCCTATTCCACTAGATCCTATATTAGGTACATTAAAAATCTCATTTTGTGTAACTCTTTTAATAAACTTGTAGTGTAGATAGTACTATCTGTAGCTTACTTTTAAGGAAAATAATCTCAGAAAGAACTTCCCCAGGGTTGTATAGTTAGTGTCAGAGTGGGATTAAATTGTCTTTTTTCTTTGGCCATGTAAGATTTGAATTAGCACTAAATGAGGATAAACAGGCACTTAGATAATGTATTATACTAGCTCAGTCTGTACACAAAAACAAAAGGTTTGTACTTTGGTTATTTAAAATTGCTGTACACTACGTAATAAAAGTTTGAGAATAAAGTTTGCCACTCACTATTTTTGTTTGTTCAGATTTCTTCCAATTCTTGTCCAAAAAAGTCGTAAAAGTTGTCTTTATAGTGAAGAGGAGTTTGTATTTTTAGCATTAACATAGCATAACATTTCTATGTTTCAATAAATATTTAAATAATATTCTATTGAGCTGAACACTATTCTTATTGAACATTTCAGTTCCAATTTTTAAAATTATAGGTCTTCAGGGAGTCAGATTTTTATAACATATAGAATGTCTTTGTTGCAATCATTTTCTTTAAATAAATGCCTTTAGTTACTTGAACTCTTAGAATCTTGTCTGACATTGCTTTTTGTCAAATTAACCTCTTAAGACTATCTAACAATGTTTCTTTATTTTGGCATTTCTGATTCTTATTATTTATGATCTTATCAAAATGTTTATTTATGATTTTATCGAAATGCTTAGAGAATTTATAAGATTTGTGGAAAGTATTCCAACCCATTCTTACGAAATCAGCAATCAGATACCGAGCAATTATAATGAACAATCTATTCCTTTAAACATCCTTAAGAATTAAGTAGTACCAATGTCTATTTTAATTGTAAAGCTTTATGATATGACTCCATTTTCTTTATGTATCTGTCATAGACTATGTTGAGCGGTACCTCATTTCCACTTTGAGGGGACCTGCACCCCTCTGTTTATAGTGGCACTATTTACAATAGCTAAGCTCTGGAAACAACCCAAATACCCAAAAATAGATGACTGGATCAAGAAGATGTGGTATATATACACCATGGAATATTACTCAGCAATCAAAAAAGATAAACTCATGCAATTTGCAGCAACATAGATGGAGCTGGAAGGGATCATGCTCAGCGAAATAAGCCAGAAAGAAAAAGAAAGATACTGCATAGCAGGAATTTAGAAAACCTATATAAGGGACCAGGAAAAATACTAAACCAGAGACACACTACAGGGGGCGGGGGAGGGTGGGGAGGGAGTAGGGTCAAAATAAGGGGGATGGGAATTGTATGGGGAATCTAACCAAGATGAAAATGCATTCATTGTGCAAAAATGAAAAATGATGTAAAATATATAAAATTAAATTAAATATGAAAATAAAAATAATGCTGTAAAAAAATAAAATAAAGTGACTACTAATACCACAAAGACAAAATAAAACAAAACATACTACTTTCCCTCTGAGAATTCAAGAGCAGAGCTGTCTACAAAGTAATACTAGGTTTTTGGTTGGAGGCTTACAAGGCAGTAAAAGAATCTAGAGGCTTTGGTTCTCAGCACCTGCTTTGTCTGGTAAAATAGCTTTCTCTACCCACAGAGGGCATGTGTTTTATGCGTGTGTGTGTGTGTGTGTGTGTGTGTGTGTGTATGGACTATGGCTCAACAGTTCTTTGTTGCCATAGTTCCAAACATATAAATATACAAACATAATCTGGGACACTGGCATCCATGTGAATGCGAGGCTGAAATGTCCATGTAAACATTGTGACAAGACATTTCCTTCAGGCTTCACCTAACCTTTACCAGAGATTAGCGACGTAAAGAGGTGATGACTTGACAGGTTACAGGCCAGCGGAGCTCATTTTTCTTACTGAAAATTTCTCCATGGCCCTGGGACAATATTGTGGGGTTTCCCTCTCTGGCTTACTATGCAAAACCTCTATGACTCTTAGAAGGTAAGAGGGACAGAAGGAAATTGAGATTTTAAATAATAATTACTATTTCTCGAACTTTTATGTATCAGGTCTCTTGTTTACAATTTCTTATATATTCCCTATATAAACTGTGTGAGAGAAGTGTTATTATCTCCCTCTACAAAAGAGGAAACTAAGAGAGTTTGTGATTTGCCCAAAGTAACTTTCAGTTTTGGAGCCAGAATTGTATCCAGGTTTACCTTCTCTCAAACAAATGCACTATCTTCCAATTTGCAAGAATTGTGGAAAGCATTCCAACCCATTCTTGTGAAATCAGATACCTGAGTGATCATAATGAGCAATCTATTCCTTTAAACATCCTTAAGAATTCAATACCTAGTACCAATGTCCATTTTAATTGTAAAGCTTTTAAGATATGGCTCAGATTTCTTTATACATCTGTCACAAAGAAGTGTTTGTAACTTTCAAAAGATGGAAAGGCCTTGCATAATATCTCTGCTTTGGGACAGTTGCATGGTGTGTCAGAGGAGGGAATTGTAAATGTCTGCCCTTGGTTAGTCTTCCCGGTGGATTTCTGGCTTTCCCAGTGAGTTCTGTCTTTGTGTGGAATGTTCTTTCTTCACTTCTTGTTCTTTGTTTTTGTTTTCTCCTCAGATCTAGATACTGATGACGATTTAAATAGCGACGATTATGAATATGAAGATGAAGCCAAACTTGTTATATTCCCAGACCACTATGAAATAGCACTACCAAATATTGAGGAGTTACCAGCCCTGGTCAGTGAGTGTGCACGGCTGCTAGCTAGATGCGCATGACTCTCTGTGTCAGGTGTGTGTGCGTGTGTGGTGTGAGGTGTGTGTGTGCCCTGGGGTAGGGGAGGTGGGTTGAATGAGAGATGGGGAGAAGAATGAACATGGACACGAGCATATGGCAGCTTCTCTGGGGAAAAGGTTACTATTTCAGTAGAGGTGGACCCTCTGCCTGTTGCTTGCAGTGCTGTCAGGGCTTCATTGCTCATTGGGCCTCCTCCTGGGGCGCTGACTTCGTGTCCCCTGTGACTCATGGTCTGTTGCTTAGATTTTTAAATTATACCCTCTAAAAGTTCAGGGACTTCTGGAGAGGGGCTGTCTTCTGATCGGACGAATGAGTATATTTTAATCTCTTCTACAAGTTGCCTTTCCACTTAAGATTTTGTTTGGGAAAAAACAAAAGCGTTCCACAGCTAAAATAAGAGTAATGTGATTATTACAATAATCAAATATTTACAACTCACAGGTCTACAGGAACTCTGTGGAAATGTAACCTACTTTTCAAAACTATCTAGGTTTTAAAATTTAGATTTAGTGGTGAGCATTTTTTGTTTTCACTTTTCCTTTGTGAAGCAACTTTAGTCTTTTGAGCAACTTCATGCAGGGACGGAAGTGGTTGTATGGGGAAGTGGTTGTAAGGTGTTTTATTTTGAATGTCGAAGCTCGGAAGTGGGCACAGATTCCTGAAGGGACCCTAACTTTTTTTCCTCACTTCTCGGATTGTCTCCACCACTCCATAGTTTTTTTTCTTTGTTCTCTTCCCCTTCATATTCTCTTTTCCACTCTGTGCAGTCCCTGACTTATCAGAGCCTGACCACTGATAACTGGGGGTGAGGGTTGACTCAGGTTAGACAATCCAGTTTGTTTTTTCCTTTTCTTACTCTGCTGACGCAAAGCCAGGGCTTTAGGTCCTGGAATCTTCTGGATGCTGTATGACTCCGTGTCTATATCCACTTTGTCCTACCAAGAGGGGATGTTTGTGTTTGGGGATCCCAAGTCATTAGGGACCAGGTTTTCATGATTCATAACTTCTTTTGCCCCTGACATACCTTATACTAAATGTAAGAGCATCGGAACAAAAAATGTGTGTTTAGCTATTGTAACTTCTTTAATTATTAAATGTAACACACCTTTTTTTTTTTTTACACAGCTTTTAGCAGTGCATACAGAATTGAATTATTTTTGCTTTCTCTGATTTCCTGTGCTGACTCATGTGACTGTTAGCAAAGATAAGAGATCTGAGTGGACAAAATGGTATTTCTTTGTCCCATTACCTGAAATTATATACTGAAGCTTATATTTCTATGCCACTGAGAGTTCTTTCTGTCCTTGTGTAATATATCTCAATGTCTGCTGTTAGGAAAGAAGCACAGTGTGAATAAATGTCATAAGAAATTATTTTTCTTTCTTTCATTTGTGAAGAAAAAGTCTTTATGTGAAAAAATTAATAAAACCTTAAGTTTTATGGAAGTATATAATTAAAATATGCAGTATATTAGTTTCAGGTATACAACTTAATGATTTTAGATTTGTATGTAGTGCAAGATGATTACCACAATAAATATAGTTGTTGACATCCATCACCGCACATAGTTATATTTTTTCTTGTGATGAGAACTTTCAGGATCTATACTTTAAGCAACTTTCAATATGCAATACAGTGTTGTTAACTGTATTAAGTATTAAGGGTCAAAAAAAGCACAAATGTTCAGTTGTAAAATAGTCATGAAGACGTAATGTGCACCGTGACTATAGTTAATAAATACTTTTAACTATTCCTACATTCAGAGCTTAATTTGAAGTGGGACTACTTTGATTTAAAAGTGTAATGTCATAGAAATCTCAATCCAACAGTGTATATTATAACTTTTAATAGAACTTTTTAGAACTTTTAACAGAAAATTTTAGAATTTAAGAAACATTTAAAGAATAATAGAAGAATTATTTGGAAGGGTGAGTGGGGAGATTGAAGGTAAAGCCTGGACTTACCACTGGTAACGGATAGGATTTACTTATGAACAAATGCTAGTTACTATATTTTCTTTTCCTGCTTTTGCCACATTTTTAGTGTTTGAGAATCCTCTTTTGAAGCTTTTAATAACAAAACTTGTTGAGCTGAAAATCACCCAACCAAAAACCTGGTCCCTGGTGTGGTCAAAATTGAGAAGAGGTCGGTTCTACAGAGATTTTGGATATAGGACTGATAGAAATTGTGTGTGTGAGGTGGCAGTTGAAGGAACTTCTTCCATTGTCTTTTAATCAGTACTCCCCAGGGCAAAACATTTGGCATGAAATCCAGTTAATTGTGCAGGATTTAGTGATGTAGAATCAATTTTTTTTGTTAAAAACAAAAAATATAGGGATATCCACGTAGTTTTTATTTCAGAGATGAATTCATAAGCAAAGGGAATGGACAAAAATGATGTTGGAGACTATCTATACTATATTTTGCATACATGAGGTTAATACTCACAACACACACACTCCCCCTCTTATAATTTGGTAAAAGCAAGTTAAACAACTGAGCGAAACAAAATGAGCAGAAAATATGAACAGATGTATTTATGGAAGATTAAGTGCCACTTAACTGTAAATATATGAAACAATGTTCATTCTTCTTAATAATTAAGAATACTTTTAAAGTTGCTGCATCATTTTCATGTGTTAAAGCATAAACATAAGCTAGAGGAGAAATAATATTTCCTGATGGCAGGAGAGGGAGAACAGAAGCAGTATCTAATATAACTGGTGAAAATGTCAATAGCAACAGCTTGCCATTTCTAAGCAAAATAAATCAGAAAATCCACACATCCTCTCAACTCCCCTGGATGGCCACACACGGTTCCCTTGCAGTCCCCTCCTGGAGCTAACATTAACTGTCAAGTTTATACATTTGTATAATTAAAAAATTGTATTGTTTTTATTGCCATAATGTTGTTTTACAACATCCGTGTATGATTTAGAGGTCTAACTTCACATCTCTGCAGATCTGTGTCACTACACAACACCCACCACCAAAGCAGCCATCATCTCCCACCATAGTCCATTGGGCCCCTTCTGCCCTTTGTTGCCTTTCACCCACCCTGATATTAGAGATGAGTCCAGAAGCAAGGGGGAAGGACAAAAGGAACCAGATGGTAGCCTCAGTTCTATAGTCAGATTTCTTGAGTTTTGGCTTAGTCTTGCCCCCTTGCTTTGTTTTTTATGTTGACTTGGGAGTATAATTATCTTGTATTTGTCTTTTTCTTTTTGCTTATTTTGTTTACCTTGATGCCTTCCATTTACATCCATATTGTGGCGAATGGCAAAATTTCATCTTTTTTTTTTTAATAGCCAAGTAGTATTCCATAGTGTTTATAGACCGCATCTTAATCCACTCATTTGTTTTGGGGAAGTTAAGTTGTTTCCATAACTTGGGTATTGTAAATAGAACATAGGAGTGCATCTTTCCCTTTGTGTTAGTGTATTTGTATTCTTCAGGTAGATGCCCATGTGTGGAAATGTTGTATCATATGCCAAATTTATTTTTAATATTTTGAGAAACCTCCATACAGTTATTGACAGAGACTGGACCAGTCTACATTCCCACCAACAGTGTACGAGAGTCCTTTTTCTCTGCAACCTTGACAACACTTATTGTTTTGGTTCATTTTGATATGGGTCATTCTCACAGTTGTGAGATGACATCTCATTTTGTCTGTTGGCCATCTGTATTTCTTTTTTGGAAAGGGGTCTGTTTATCTCTTCTACCCATTTTTTGATTGTTATATTATTTGTGTTGAGTTGTGTGTTTTTGTCGATCTTGGATATTAGCCCCATGTCAAAATGTATGTTGTGCAAATATTTTCTCCATTCTTTAGGGTGTCTTTTGTTTTAATGGTAGCTTCTTTTACTGTGCAGAAGCTTTTTGGTTTGATGTAGTCCCATTTATTTATTTTTACCTATGTTTCTAGTACTAGGGCATTGACTATCCCTGCATCCTTGAAATAAATACCACTTGGTTATGTATGATCATTTTAATGTGTTGTCAAAAAATTTTTAACAATTCAGTGACTTTTATTATAGTCAGAGTTGCATATCCATCATCTCTATGTCATTCTAGAATATTTTTATCATTCTCCAAAATACTGGGTTGGTCAGTTGGCATCAAGCTGAGTGTCACAGGTTTGGCTCACCATGTGGGCTGATGTGGCATAGAGACACCGATGCATGTCCATTTCCAGGGTCACATTTGCATCAGATTAAGCAATGGAGCCATGCTGCTTAGATTCCATGCTCGTGTCTTTGACCCCATGCTATTGTATGCTGAGTTGAGGATATGGGATATCTGGATGTGTATTTGTTTGGAAGAAAACACACCACTTAGGTAAATCCTATGTTCTGATAGCCAATTTCATCCTTGTAAATTGTTAATCTTAGACTTTTCACTTTGCTTACTGAGAGGCAGGGTTTGTTAAATCTGATTCTTATACTTGGCTATAGAAGCTGCATTTGATTTCTTGTTATCTTGTGTCCTTGTCAGTATTGCACATTCCAGGCCAGGGACAAAGTCTTGCTAGATTCAGGGAAAGGGCTCGCATCAGGAAACTGGGATTTTTGCTTTCATGGTAACTGTGCTGTTTGACTTTTCTTGGGTTAAGTTATACTTACTAATAAATTTTAAAATTCATTTTCTAGAGGTTGATATTCTCTTCAACTATTTTTGTATATCACAGCCGGATTTGTCTTACAGGTAACAATTGCTTGTGATGCAGTTCTCAACTCAAAATCTCCATACAGAAAGCAGGATCCAGACACATGGGAAAACGAGCTGCCAGTATCCAAATATGCCAATAACCTCTCCCAGCTCGACAATGGAGTCAGGATTCCTCCGAGGTGAGATTCAGAGAGCAAAGTGGAACTTACCCCCTAAAAGTGGCCAGTGGGATACTTACTTTTTTTTAAAACCCTTTCTTTGACTTAGCAGTTATATATTTTCTTGTCAGAAGTACTTTTTTATTAAAAATAAGTTAAAATTTCTGAAATTATTTGAATCTTCTGAATCTTTTTGGTAGCTGCTGAACATTACAGCCCTTACCCCTGAGCTGTTCACAACCTAAGGCTTACAGTTGCAAGCACCTACAATTCTTTGCTGGAGGGTTTTCTCTGCCTCTTGAAGCCAGGTAGGCCTGGGATAGTCAGAAATGCCATAGAGTTAATGTACCCTCCTGGTCTCCTGGAACAGCCCTCAAGTAATGACTGTGGACAGCGGATGAGAGCCTCTATCCCCTGTTGGGGTAAATGTCTCCTGGTCTCACAGCTGGACTGAGCCCTACTGCTCATGGTGGTCTTCTGCTCATTGATAGTCCCTGTACTGGCTTCCAGTCATTTACATCTCACTACCCTCCCTGCCCTGCCTTGTACTTCCTGGTATCATGTCCCAAATAAGTCATTTGCATTCAAATATTTGTCTCAGGGTCTGCTTCTGAGGGAACCCAACTTGCAATAGACTTTGGTTGTCACATTTTTGCCTGGAATGTTCTGTGGGCTACATTAGCACTTCCTGTTAGTGCCGGAGTGTTTACAGGTGCTAAGGGGAAAAAGCAGGTGGGTTGGGAATGTGTGTAAAATGTTGAACCTCCATTGTACTACATTCCCAATCTGTGTGATCTCGGGGAAGATTCGTGCTTCTGGGCTTCAGTTTCTCTCTTTGAAAAAGAGAACAGTAATACTGATACTAAAAGATATTTATTAAGAATTAAATGATAGAACTTATGTAAGTACCTGGCACATACTTGACATAAAATACTCGCTTGATTTCTTTTTTACTTCCTTGCAGTGCAGTAGGGTTTATTTAAATTGGTTTTACTATGTATCATTAATGTTGTAGAACTTTAGATGTTTACATCAATACATATGGGATCCTGAATGCTTTAAGCTTATTCTAGCTCCACTGCCCCTCATGTAGTAATTTTAAGGAAATGATCTCGAAGGAGCTGGAAGGAGTTGGTCCCCCATCTGGGGAGCAGGCAGGGTACTGAGTGCTTCTGTTCCTCTGCAGAGAAGGGGTAACATTAGTGCTTTGAGGGGAGAAAATGAGGAGGTACCAGTCTTATTCCATTGACCATTTCTTGTGACCTCCTAGCTTGAGACACTGTTTCCTTGGATGTTAATTTTCTGATTATGCCCTGTGTCTTGGTTGTGCTAACTGCCCTCCAATGACTTTTCAGTGGTTGGAAGTGTGCCAGGTGTGACCTGCGAGAAAATCTCTGGTTGAATCTGACTGATGGCTCCGTGCTCTGTGGGAAGTGGTTCTTTGACAGTTCTGGAGGCAATGGGCATGCTCTGGAGCATTACAGAGACATGGGCTACCCTCTAGCTGTGAAACTGGGAACCATTACTCCTGACGGGGCAGGTGAGTATTTCTTTATTAAACTGGAACTTGCAGTGCTTCCCCTTTGATTTAACCAAGGCTTAATCTCTAGGGTTGGAAGATCAAGGCTCTGGACTCAAGACAACTCAGATTTGAATACTGATTCTGCCTCTTATTAGTAGTGAAGTCTCAAAGGCAAGTTCTCAACTCCTTCTAAGCTTCAGGTTCCTCATCTTGCAGATAATTATGGTACTTTCCTCACTAGTTTATTAACACACATAAGCATTTAGCCCAGTGCACACAGTAAGGTCTTAATAGCTGTTAGCTGCTACTGCTACTGTTTTTCTCTATGTCTCTGTATATCATTTGTGAAATGAATGTGCATAATTAAATATGTCATTAGAATAGTAAGGAGTACCCGAGAATCCATTATGGGGATTAGCATCATTTAAGGAACAAATGAATTCATTATGGAGAAGATAGATTTTAAAGGATACTGTGTATTCAGAATCCCTGACGTCAGCAGGCATCCGTGGTTCCCATTTAGCAAAGGATTAGAATTGGGTCCTGCTTGTTAACTGTCTCCTTTGGCATGGGTTTCCTTTCTTTATGCTTTCACTGAATGCTCCAAAGGGTTAGCTTTTGGCCAAGTTTGTACAGTTAGTTCCTTCTACCATTCTGTGAGGTACAAGGGAAGTAATATCAGGGTTAATAAAGAGAAACTTAATTATTGAGCAGTGGCCATAAGAATCCACCATGTAAATTTCATTGGAAACACTGAATAAGTACTGATTTAGACCAACACCCAAACCAGTCTCCTCCATCTTTCCAGACTTTATTCTCTTTTTTTTTTTTTAAAGTCAATTAATTAATTATTGAGGTAACATTGGTTTATAACACTGTGTATAGTTCAGAGGTGTAGGTTCATAACTTTTTAGATGTTTGTTACCATATCACACCCACCATCAGGGCACCCACAGTCTTCTGGTATAGACCATTGCATCCCCCAACCCCCTTTGATTTCCATCCTTTCCCTTCCCCTCTGGTAGTCTCAATTTTATAGTCAGATTTCTAGGGTTTGGTTTTGTCTAATCCTTTGTTTTGTTTCTCTATATTTCACATATATGTGGCACTATTGGGTATTTGTTTTTCCCTCTCTGATTTATTTCACTTCGCATAATCTCCTCCAGTTCCATACATGTTCTTGCAAATGGCAAAAGTTCATCTTTTTTAATAGTTGCATGGTATTCCATTCTTTAAGGTCACATACTTTTTTTTAGGAGAAATATAAGGATACTTGCCTTTTGTCTTTTCTTGTTATCTTTCTATGACTAAAATATGATGTTTTCTCTGAATATGGTATAATTCTTGCCAACCATGGCTTTTCATTGTAATTTTTTAGTTTATCATTTGCTTTATAATTGAGGACTGCCAATTAGATCATCAAGATTCTTTTGTTTCTCATTTCCAATAATTTTCCTGCTTCTGAAGTGAATGGGCTTATTTCAATTCTTTAAAGAAAAATAGCTGTAAGAGTCTTATATTCTGGTGCCAAATATCCCAGCTCCAATCTCCCAAGTAAGTAAACGTCTACATAAGTCAAGTTAGATCTTAAGACTTCCAGGACCTGAAGAGGACTTTTAGGACAGGCTTTTGGATTCAGGTTAGAACAGAGTGCTTGTTAGTCTTTACTATGTTGAATTGCAGCTATATTAGACAACCACACTTCTCTTTTTAGGGGGTTACAGAGAGAAGCGTGCAATATAACAATACCATTAGGTAAAATTGCAAGGGGAGTTATCCAGATATTTCTATTTTCTATGCTATCTTATAGAGTGCTTTTGATAAGACTAGTTATTAGCTATCCAATTTTCAGAATGTCTTCAAGACTACAACTATGACTTAATTCTAAATTTTCAGTTTGTCTGAAGTCAGGGGCTATGTTTTATTCATCTGCGGGTACCTTACAGAATCTTGCACATGAATACACAAATACTTTCATTAAAATAACCTTGGAATCAAGGCTTTGACTAGTATATAAATATTTAACTAATTAAACTCTATTTAAATGTATGCTAATAGTGAAAACAAGGGTTATATTCTCTATGCATCTTTACATTTTCAGAAGCTTTTGTTCTAGTGGGAAACTTATTTTCAAACTGTGATGTAGAGTACATCTAAGTTAATTTTCTCTTCAGGGAGGAAGGAAAGTTTTATATTTCCCCTTGATTATACAAGAAGCATATGTTCACTATAACATATTTAGAAAACAGAGAGAAAAGTGTAAAGAAGTAAATAAAACTCAGTAGTTATACCAACTCCCAGGCAAATCACTTCCGACTTGTTAGTATTTTTTCTTTTTTAAGGTCTTGATCAGTTCTTATATAAACAAGTGTACCACATTTTTACAGAAACTGAATTCCATAAAGTTTATCCATTATTTCTCTTTATCATTAGATTATATTTCACATGTCATTAAATATTCCTCAGTATTCCATAATAGTTTCACATTATTTCACTGTGCCCCCATGAGTTGTTATAATTTTTTTTTTCCATTTTGATGAACATCATTATATATTTGCAAACCTTTGGGCATTTAGCTAATGATTTCTTTTAGGAGAAATCTCAATGAGCAAAGGGTTGAAACTTTGAAATTTTTAATTTCCCAGTGTTTCTTTTAAACAGTTTTAGCGATTTATATCCCCACTACTTGTTTATGAGAACATTCATCTCAACAAATTGTTGGCAACTTTGGATATTAAAACTTTAAAAAAAAAAACCCTTGCTAATCTGGTATCTTGTTTTAATTTGCTTTACTAGTGAGGCTGAACACTTAATGGTACTCTTGGCCTTTTGTAATTCTTTCTTTGTGATTTTCTTTGACTTATTGTCTAGTAGGTGTAATATTTCACTTATCTGTATTTAAGAACTCTTTAGCTATTTAGAATATTAACCTACTATTTACCATAGTTACAGTTTTTTGTTTGTTTTTTTTTTAAAGGAGGGAGAGCATTAAAGGTTTTTTTTAATCATATTATTGAGATTCTTTGAATAAATTCTCCTGAATGCAAATGGCCAACAGACATATGAAAAAATGTTCAACATCACTTGTAATCAGGGAAATGCAAATCAAAACTACCATGAGATACCATCTCACACCAGTGAGAATGGCACATATTAAAAAAACTAGCAACAACAAATGTTGGCGAGGGTGTGGAGAAAAAGGAACTCTTCTGCACTGTTGGTGGGAGTGCAAACTGGTCCAACCACTATGGAGAGCTGTGTGGAGATTTCTGGACCTACTAAACATAGAGCTTCCATATGATCCAGCAATTCCACTCCTAGGTATTTACCCAAAGGACACAGAAACATCAATTCCAAAGAACACCTGCACCCCTATGTTTATAGCAGCACTGTTTACAATAGCTAAGCTTTGGAAACAGCCCAAATGCCCAAAAATAGATGACTGGATCAAGAAGATGTGGTACATATATACCATGGAATATTACTCAGCATTCAAAAAAGATAAACACATGCAATTTGCAGCAACATGGATGGTGCTGGAAGGGATCATGCTCAGTGAAATAAGCCAAAAAGAAAAAGAAAAATACCGGATGGTCTCACTCATAGCAGGAATCTAGAAAACTTAAATAAGGGACCAGGAAAATGAATATAAGAAAGTGAAAATCAAAATCAACAAAAAACTATGAACCAGAGACACTTTTTGGGGGGTGGGGGGCAGGAAGGGAAGGATTGGGGTCAGAATGGGGCTTTTGCAATTGTATGGGGGAATATAAAAATAAAATTTATTATTTAAAAAAAAAAAGGATATTAAAGAAATTCTCATAAAAAAAAAAACAAAAAAAACATAAAAAAATGCCATAAAATTGGCAATAGCAATGCAGATTGTATGCCTGTGATGAGGGTTCTTGAATTTGTTTAGCTGAAATAATCACTTTTTGAAAAAAAAAAGCCAACCACTTTTTAAGTAAAGGTCAGGATTTGATTTCTGCTTATTTTGTACAGTTGGTTTGAATACAGATGATTATTTTCCGTCTGATTTCACATTAGGTTATGGGATGCATTAATTCTATTTTAATGTCATTTAAATCAACTTAATGAATTATTAGTTGTAACATGTTTATTTCAAAGCAAAATAAGTTAATAAAAACTTGCAATAAATTTCTGTACATGTCTAATAATGAATTTTGTGGACATTGAGGCCAGGAGGGCTGAGCCCTCTTTTTCTGGTGTTAGGGGAGTGATAACCTCCTGAGGAAGGTACATGGTCCCATCTTCAATACTCACTGGGTTCACTGAGGGTAATTCAATGAACAAGAGGTAATGTCTGAAAGTTGAGGTGTTTATTTTTTGGTTCATAATGAGAACCACAAGTGCTCGTACGTGGGATGTTTATGTCGCTTTGACCAGTACATTCCTTCCCCGTGGGAAGCTAAATTATATTTAGAAGATTGCTTAGTGAACATGGAATTAAGCAGGTTTGGACTTAATTATTTAATGGTACTATGATCTGATCATCCTGGTGTCCTTCTCTCAAATAAGTATATACCTGTCTAGTGAGAAACTTCTACTCCTCCTTGAGGTCTCAATGAAGATTTCAGCTTTTCGCTGAGCCCTGATTCCCCAGGCTAAGCCATTATGGAGGCATGCATGGTAAAAACGGGCCCTGTGTCAGATTCCACTCTGGGTCCCCATGGGTACAAACAAATAAACCAAGAAGTAGATCAGCACACAAACAAACAATCAAAAAGCTCTCCTTTGAGGGAGGAGATACTGATTTGGCAAAGCAAGGAGAGTTTCTTGGGAGGGAAGAGAGTGAGACTGGATAGAGGCAGGAGAGGGTTGTTTGTTTTTTAATTCTATTGTGAAAGCTAACTTATCTAAGAAGAAACCTCAATGTCATGTGATTCCAGCAGAGTCTTCTAGAGATGCCCGAGGTGGCTGTGACATTGCCTGCCCCCTTGGCCCTCATACCAGCTCTTTTGTATCTCAAGGTGGTCTTTTTTTGGTCATCATCACCCTCTACATCCTCAAGTGTCTTATAGACCAAAAGTTTGTAATGAATGTTTGACTTTCATTTTAGTTTTCACATGGCTTGTTCCCCTCCTGTGTGTCTCATGTAGCTATATCACAGCAGGTTCACAGGCTCCTGGACAGTCTCTGTAGTGGAGGTCATGTCAGGTAGCAGGGTCTGAGAGTTGTGTTTACTGTAGACTGTTGTATCTCTAGCATCTTGCATAGCCCCTAAACATAGTAGGTGCTCAGTAAATATTTTTGGAGTTAAGAGATGGAGGAAGACACACCAATAAAATTTGCTCCTTTAATTTGCCTTCCTTTTGTTGTATTTTATTAATGTCTTTTTATATTTACTTGCCTTCTTTTCCTGACTGCAATATAGCCTTTGTCTGGCCTGGGAGTTTTACTCTACAGTGATAGTAAATGCTTCAACACCATTCATTTTATGTTTATTTTTCTAGTTTAATTGCTGGAGCTTTCATTTCTTATCTGCTTGGTGGCAGTGACCACCAACCAGAGAGGCACACAAATATGACTGCATGGTGGGGAAATGCAGTTTGGATTGAATGGATTAACACTTACTTTGACGAGAACTTTGCCCCATCTTTTCCTCTGACTTGGGACTTGGTGTTTGACCAAGAGTTCTTTTTTCCTCTCCACTTGAGCTGTGAGAACGAGAGCAGCAAAACCAGCTTCCCTGTTTTGTTTTTTTTTTTTTTTTTTTTTTTTAAAGATTTATTTATTTATTTATACAAGCACTGGGTACAGTCAGAAGTGCGGGAGGGTGAGAGAATTCACCAGAGCCAGAGCGGGGAGCAGAGCAGGCAGAAGGACCGAAGTACACTGCTGAGGGGAGCAGCAGGCAGTAGGAGAGGTCTGTGCGCCATGTGGGACCGTCCTCTGGAGGCCGGGGAACAGCCGGGGATAGAACCGGCGCTGCAGAGGCTGCGGGCAGCTTCGCAACCCAGCGCTCAACCGCTGCGCCACCGGGGAGTCCCCAGCTTCCCTGTTTTGTTTCTCTTTCTAAACATAAGGACTTGTTGAAGTACATCTTTACCTCTCTTTCTTTCATGCTTTCCTGTTTGGGAATGTAAGGGCAAGATTTAGACTTCAGCCATGTTCTGGAGTTTAGGAAGAAAGTCTAAAGTCACATGACTGAACCTTAGCCAAGAAGATGTCTGTGGAGACCCTTTACACCAAATCAGCATTTCTTCTGACTGTTTGAAATAATAATGTTTAAACTTTTGAGGACAGGGACCCACCTTGTATTACTTACCATTGTCTCCTCAGTATCTGTATATATTGTTCAGTAGATGTTTGTTGAATGCAGTGAGTGGATGAGTGAGCAAGTGAACTGATCCACATAGATGAACAGGCTCCCATCTAATTGGATCAGTTTCATCTGTGGGAATGCTTACAAAAAATTTTTTCCTTGTCAAAATAATGGAATAAATTTGGAAAAAAATAGAAAAAAAAAAAACCCAACAACCCTCTTATCACCATCTTGATAAAATTCCTTACAGATTCTCGGTCTTGATCTCAATTGTAGTCTTCATCTCTCTAACATTTCCCTTAGTTAATTTTGGAACTTACTGCATGCTCTATTTTCTAACTTGCTATCACATCAGTAGGTTATTCATGCTCTATAAATTTTCTTTTATCTTTTCTCTTCTGTGGATCTCTTGTCATGTTCTTTGTGGTTTAATGTGTCAATTCACTTAAAATGAAACAATGACTGAACTTCTAAATGAATGTAGTTGCTCCTGTGAAACACTTACTTGGGATATTCTTGAGAGGATTGCTCAGTGAACTTCCTAACCAGTTCTTGGCTCCAAGGTTTTAAGCTAAATTAGTGGTGGAGGAGGGTAATGGTTGTCAGGCAATGCTTATTTGTTACAGTAGTTTTTGAACTAAGATTTGACTTTGTTTAGATGCAGTTAATCATTCAATTTTCCAGTGAAAAGCATGTTAAGCAGGATTTTCAGCCCTTGTGCACTTCAAATATTATTGTATGACTACACGTCATTTGCAAATATTTCATGTTTGTCAAGTTTAAGGATCACAGTTCATTTTTAGATTTCTTTTATGATACTCACTAAATTGTTTATATCATTGAGGTAAGACATAACTATCTTTTGTGTCTGTGCTAATCATAGTCATATATTTGAAGCAGTCAAATACTGGGGATTGAAAATGTTAATTTCTTAAAGTGGCAAATGCCTCAGAACCATAGAGTACTGTGATTTCTAAATCCCAGGCCAATGCCAATTGGTGCAGTTTTCTCAATTTTATATTTTCTAATAGAACTTTGATATTTAGAGGCTTAAGATCTTGTCTTTGAAATGATCTTCTTAGTTAATAATAACTAGAGTTAAAATGTCTGGGGGGTGTCCTTTTTACCTGCCATCCAGTATTTGAGTGGAATTTTTATGTCACTTGTGTTAGATTAAATATATTTTGATTTATTGGTTTCAAGTTATTAGTTCGACGATTTTTTTTTTTTAACATTTAAACTTTGGAAGTGGTGCAATGGGTTGAGTGCAGCGCTGTGAAGCTGTCTGCAGCCTCTGCAGCACAGGTTTGATTCCAGGCCGATCAGGGAGATACCCACAGGGCTCAGTAGACCTCTCCTGTCTCGCCCGCTGCTCCCCTCAGCTGTGTTTTTGGTCTGTCTGCCTGTTCTGCTCCCTGCTCTGTCTCTGGCAATTTCTCTCACCCTCTCACGCCTCTGGCCTGTACCCCTAGTTCTTGTATAAATAAAATAAATCTTAAAAAAAAAAAAACTTTGGAAGTTTTTTCTTATTGGACTGTGAGATTTTATCCTTTGTTTTGTTTTAGAGATCACTGAATTATATATTAAAAAAGAATGTAGTGAAAGCTTCTAGCCATTAGTTAAAATGGGCCCCTCAGGGGAGGAGAGGTAGAAGAGAAATCTATATATTGTTTAATCTATTGATGATCGAAAGACAGACTTCCCTTGGGTAAGCGGTGAGTGTCCACAAATCTGGGTTTTGGTCTGAAGGTCACCATAGTTCTAGATATTACTTTTTTTTTCTTCTGGTGATATTCTTCAGATCAGGAAATTCCTTGGACAGACTGACTTTTACTGCCCTAAAGAGTGATATCTTTATATCTGTCTTCTTTGTAATAGTTTTTGGTTTTCGGTCTTATTAGGGAAGAAATATGCTCCTATGCTTCACTGAGTCCATTGGTCTCCCAAAAGATCCAAGGAGATGGTCCAGCCCAGAGGAAAAAAAGATGGGACCATGAGTCAGAATAATTGGATATAGGGCCACCTGTGGTGTTTGAGGCAAATGGACAACCCTTTATAAGCCTCTCTCACTCTTCTGGCAAAGTGGGCCTGGAAATGCCTATTTCTTTGCCCACATGGCACTGCTGTGTGAGGACAGATAAGGGGGAAAAATTTGGAGACAGAAAATATATCCTGCCTTTACTTTAGATAGCTTTTGAAAACTCTAGGCAGTGCTTCTCACTCTTTACTGGAGATCTCATTTAAATGCCAGTTCTCATTCATTGGTTCTGTGGTGGGATGGGGACTTTCTGCATTTCAGCAAGCTCTTAGGTGCTGCTGCTGCTTCCAGGCCACTTTGAGAAGCCAGGTTCAGGTCTGGGTATGCTGTCACTAGGTGGAATGTTAGGATCCCAAGGAGAGCTGTCCCTACCATAGCACAGAGCTTCTCAGTGCGAGTGAGCTGTGCATGGTGACGAGGAGCCCAGATGCCTGTCCTTTAGGCCCTGGGGCAGGGCTGGGCCCAGGGTGGCTGGACCCTCCTGAGTTGCCCAGTTGTGCCAAATGCATCATTTTCCATTGGGAAGTCTTGCACAGTCTGCACAAATCCCCCACCAGCCCTGTGAGGGGTAGATACTGACAGGAAAGAAGGGAGGTAGAAGTGGGTGAGGGGGTAGTTCTGAGACTGAAAATTTGTTTTGCCCTGGAACCAACACCTCAGTCCAGGTTCAGTGGGCCTGCGGGCTGGTGTGTTCTCTCTGTTGGGGAACAGAGTTCTCCATGCCTTGGACACCCTCTCCTCCCACACCTGCTCCTCCTCCTGGACTTAAGAATTATGATACTGTGGTATGGTTAGAAAAATCAAACATTAGGCATTTATATATATATCTCATTTTAAATTATTTGACTTTATACACTGTTTTTCTTGTTTCAGAAAACCTTTTTAAAAATTACTTTCTGAAATTTCAAAAGAATTGCTACATTGTTGGATTCACAAAAAATACCTATTGATTTTATTTATTGTTTATCATCCATCTTTTCCTCAGTTAGGATGTAACTTGTAAGACTTTTTTTTTAAAGATTTATTTATTTATGCATATAAGAACTAGGGTACAGGCCAGAGGTATGTGTGTATGGGGGGGGAGGTGAGAGGATTCACCAGAGGCAGTGGGGAACAGAACGGGCAGATGGACTGAAATACACTGCTGAGGGGAGCAGCGGGGTGAGACAGGAGAGGTCTGCCGCACCATGTGGGCAGCTCGACCAGCGATCGAACTCGTGCTGCAGAGGTGATGGATAGCTTCACAGTGCTGTGCTTAACCCCTTGCACTACCAGGGAGGCCCGTAAGAGGTTTTGTTTTGCTCCTTGATCTCCCCTAAGTCTGGTACACAGTCGGAGCAGAGTATATATAAGTTGAATATTGAATGACTTGATTACAGATCTCAGTGCTTGTTTTTTTCTTCACCTTCTAGATGTTTACTCTTTTCAAGAAGAGGAACCTGTGTTGGATCCTCACTTGGCCAAGCACTTAGCACATTTTGGAATCGATATGCTTCACATGCATGGGGTGAGCTCTCTTTTTGTCTCTATTCCCATGTTGTGGGGAGGAAACTGATTGTTTTCCTTAGTATGCAGTTCCTCCAACATGATTCTTTAGTTTATATTTCCTTATTTTATAATAAGTTTTAGGTTTGAACGTTTACTTTTCCTTCTTGAATTTAATTAGTATTTTTCCTTTATTCACCAGCTAAGCTTTTTTAATGTTATAATAAAAATAGCATCTCACCAAGTATTATTTTGTTTTAGTTGGAGTTTACTTGTAAAATTTCTGTATCCTTTCATGGAGAGTTGCATGAATCACTCTTTGTTCACTGAAGGGATAAGGTATGCGAAGATGACCTTTAAAATTGTCTGTGACCATCATCACTTTAATTAATTTCAGGAAGGGAAGCAGTGCTCCTTGGGGGGTGGAAATAATAATCCAATGCATTCTTGTTGATGGAAAAGCTTTGCTTCATTTAATACTATGTTTTCAAGCTGATCATGACTATGTAATATTTTCCCCTCTGAGGAGCTAGTTCAATGTACTGTTTCATTTTGGCTCTGTCCTCCCAGCCCATCCAACTCCCTCTCCTCATGTCCTATTTTCTGTCTCCTTTCTCAATTATGTCTATTTTGCCTTTTTTTTTAAAAAAAAAAATTCATGTCTATTTTGCATTATTTTCTCTGTTCTTCTCTAGACCTTTCCCTTCTATTCTGAGGCACCTCCCAAGCTCCATGTTTTTTCTCTACTTACCTCTCCAAATGCCTCGCCTTTGTGTTTGCTGTGTTGTATCATATTCCCTTGAAATTATTCTACTTGCTTCTTTTTTTTTTAATTCCTACTTGTCTTTTTTCTCCTTCTAGCCTGCTTTCTTCTCATTGTCTCCCTTTTATTTTTTAATTCCTACTTGTCTTTTTTCTCCTTCTAGCCTGCTTTCTTCTCATTGTCTCCCTTTTATTTTTTAAAATTTACATGTGAGTGTTATTGTGATAAGATATACATTATAGAAAGTTTATAATTTTAACCATTTTTAAGTGTACAGATCTGTAGCATTAAACATATTTACATTACTGTGCAACCTTCACCACATGGGCTGTTGTCATTGGCTTATTTTTCTGTTCAATTGGGACAAAAGGGCAGAAATATCCACTGCTGTTGGAGATCATTCATAGGCCATGACTCGGATGATAATCACAATTAAAGTGTTTTTTCTTCAATGACTTCGCCCCAGACAGAGAATGGGCTCCGGGACAATGACATCAAGCCGAGGGTCAGTGAGTGGGAAGTGATCCAGGAAACGGGGACGAAGCTGAAGCCCATGTATGGCCCTGGGTACACGGGTCTCAAGAACCTGGGCAATAGCTGCTATCTCAGCTCTGTCATGCAGGCCATCTTCAGCATCCCTGAATTCCAGAGAGCGTAAGTGTCTCCCCCGCAGACCTTGCCACACAGCAATACCTCGGTCCCTTCCCCCCAGTTGGGTCAGTATGTGCTGGGAGAACCAGTTTTCATCAACCAGCAGACATTTTGTCCCATTTTCGGTGGTGAGTTCTTGTCCTGAAGATGAGTGAAAAGCTTGTCAAGTTTCGTGAGGGTCAGGTGAGATACAGACAGCTCTCTAAACTGAGAAACCACCTAAGGGACCTGCCGTATTAATAGTTGCTTCCAGGGGCCTCCCTGGGGGTGCAGCGGTTTGAGTGCCGCACTGTGATGCTGTCCGCAGCCTCTGCAGAGTGGGTTCGATCCTGGACAGCTGGCTAGAATCCCACATGGCACAGCAGACCTCTCCTGTCTCACCCACTGCTCTCTTCAGCAGTGTATTTCGTCAGTCTGCCTGTTCAGTTCCCCGCTCTGTCTCTGGTGAATCCTCTCACCCTCCCGTGCATCTGGCCTGTACCCCGGTTCTTGTATAAATAAATCTTAAAAAAAAATAGTTGCTTCCATTTCTAGACCATCAAGAATATATTAATCAATAATCTTCACAGCAAAGCTCACATGGCCAGACCCCTTCTTGATCTATTCAGTCATTGTCACCCCTGTGGTGAGTGGAGTGACTTAGAGGATTAAGGCTTTTCATGTTTTTGCTACTCAAAATATGGTTCACAAATTGCTATGGCCTTTGGATATGAACGTACAGCAACATAAGTATGGAATTGAGAGTGAGAGTCCAGAAAATTGTCTTGAGTCTGCCATAGTTTGAGTCTGCCATAGTTTATAAGTGGTATTTTATTTTTCAAATTATTTTTATTGTACCTTTAAAAGGTATCATCTCTATGAGTTGAAATAAAAAACTGGTACTTCAACACAAGTAATTGGGGGCCAGTGATTTAGGGCCCTTCTTAACTGTGCATGTGAAAAGCGGCCTTTTCCTCCCACACTGAGGATCAGAATGGCTGTGTCTGTGGCCATTGCCTTGTGACGTGGGGCTGTAGACCCGGATGTGTGGCTGGTGCTCTATGGCCAGCCACTGCTTCAGGTAAGAAAACAGTTGCTAATGTTCTCCAGATCAGGGAAGCCCCCACCTTGGTTGAAGTTGGAAGAGGCCATACATGTGCTAAGAGAGGTAGACAGGCAGACAGCACCCTACGAACTGCCCAGGGAAAATTTTGCTCCATGTGCAATTGAGATGCTAATGGTGGTAAATAAAAAGGGTCTCAAATATCTTTTTCTTCCCTCTCTTAGTAATTAAAGACTTGACTTTACTGCTTTCTGGTTTTGGACATTTATGGCCACTTCTCCACTCCTGATTTTTTCATCCAGACAATGAAGAGTAGAATCTGTCCTGCTCAGCAGTGTGCTGGGTGTGGGATTCAGTAACAAAGGAGATGGTGTCCAGCTCTGCTTGGGAAGCCTGACAGTACAGGAGTGATCATAAGTACAACTGCGTAGTTCTGAACATAGAGGAAAAGGGAAGGCGGTGGTCAGGGAGAATCTCCTGGAAGAAAGGACACACTGATGTGCAAAAGGAATGAATACGCAGGGTTTTGGGTAGAAGAAGGAGTGTGTTTAAAGCTCTGAAGCTTTATTATACCTTTCGAAGGTATAATACAATACCTTGCAGTGTATTATTTATAATATGATATTTATAATTTATAATACAAAATTTATAATTCATAAATGTCTAACCATGTCTTATACTTGTGTTATTTGATTGGGAAACAAAGTAGCTTCATCTTACATGTCTCATGTGCCAAGACTAAAAAAAAAAAGACTGGAATGTGCTTATGGTCGATGTTGTATAATTATTATTTCTTTTAAACCAGAATGGAAGAAGTTTGTGTTCCTTTGTTATAAAGCCCAATGCTTTCTCAAGTGTTTTTCAATCTATAGTTTTTGAAAATTCTTACGACATGCTAAAGTTTGATGAACAATTAAATTTCTGAATTTTTCTTCAGTGGAAAAATGTATCTCATGTCTCTTCTGGATTAATATTTGACCCTTCACCCTAGTCTGGTTGCAAGAGTTTTAGAATTTTATATTATCTACTGTTTTATGTTCTATTTTCTCATTTATTAAAACATGAGCAATTTACTGTTCTTGCTTACCCTCAGTTTTTTTTTTGTTGTTGTTCTTTTACCAATTATCACTGGCGTGAGATTTTTGCTCTTCAAGCTGCTTTCCTCTAGCAGGGGACTCAGTGGAATTGGGTCCGGGAACAGTGTTCCATTTTGAGAGCTTGTTTGGAGGTTCTAGCAGGGGAGCGCAGCTACTCGTATACCCTCGACCGAAGACCGGTCCGTCTCTATTCGGGGAAGGCCGTCCTCTTCGACCGAGCGCGCAGCTTCGGGAGGGACGCACATGGAGCGGTGAGGGAGGAAGGGGACACCCGCCTAGCCAGCCAGATCAGCCGAATCAACCCTGGCGATCAATGGGGTGACAGATGTCGCAGCCAGATCGCCCTCACATCCCAGTGTTCCATTTTGTAAGTAGAAAGAATGACTCATAGTTAGATTAAATGACTTACGTACAACCACAGTGTAATTTGGGAACATCAGCCGGGCTCCTTAATACCCTGTCTGCCACTTGAACCCAGTTTACACATCAAAATAATTCTGATGACATTCAAATCTAAATAAACTGATGTGCAAATTAAATGATAACTAAAGATGGTTGTCAGATAGCAAAATTACTTTTTCCTCTTTGAGAACCACTAGAATGCAAATTAAAGGTATCATATGTTCTTTAAAAGTTACTTGCATTACTTCATCTTAATTTAATTAATTTAACTGTAATGGAGGCTACTCCTTATCAATTCAAAAAGGAATATAAATTTCTAGAAAAAAATAGACTTTTCTATCTTCAGAGATTTATACCCTTTAACTCTAATCTTCTCCGCTAGTTTTGACTGAAAACATAGACCTTTTTTCTAATGTTCTCCCCAGTGAGTTTTTTTTGTCCTGTTAGAATCTAAAATACAATAAAGAATGGATCATAAGGGAGTTAATGAGGTCACCATGTATTTTATTTTATTTTATTTATTTTTTTTAAGATTTATTTATTTATGCATGCAAGAGCTGGGGTACAGGCCAGAAATGCGGGGGGTGAGAGGATTCACCAGAGACAGAGTGGGGAGCAGAACAGGCATATTGAATGAAATACACTGCTGAGGGGAGCAGCAGGCGAGACAGGAGAGGTCTGCTGCGCCATGTGGGTTGCTCCCTGGCTGGCTGGGTATTGAACTCGTGCTGCAGAGGCTGCAGACTACTCCATAGTGCAGTGCTTAACCCCTTGTGCCACGAGGGAGGCCCCATCATGTATTTTAATATGAATTCTTCAATGCAGCCTTTGGTTCTGAATAGTTTGCTTGTAAATTTATCAATTGTCTGACTCAGTGTATTGAAAATTTATAGATATGATTTTTATTCTAGTGATACATCCAGAAGCCATTTGAGTGGGACTGACCAAGGGAACATGCTTTGTTAATTTTGATGTGGATACATAATATGGGATACAAATTCTAAGTTTGCAGACAGCAGATAGTACTGAGAAGTCTAATTGGAGGTCATTGTTAACTACTTGGAGTTAGCGACTAGATCATGGTTCTCTGCTAGAGCTTTATTGCACTTATGCCTTTTCTGTTGGGTTTTGGGAGTCAATTATGAAATTGATTGTATGATTGCATGCTCTGAATGTTCTCATGTAGGTGTACAAATATGGAGTGCCTTTTGTTAGATGTTCTAGTACTAGAGATGTAGTGATTTAGACAAAGACTCTGATTTCATTCTAGTGTGTAATTTCTAGAGAGATAGATAGTTAATAAGAATGTAAATAAATTATGAGGCAAATGGTGATGTGTGCCAAGAAGAAAGTTAGCCAGGGTCAAGTGTTAGGAAATTAGGGAGGTTAAGAAATAGGCTTTGTTTTGGGAAAGTGTCTTAGGAAGTAACTTGAACAGACAGTTGAAAAGGAGCAAGGATCTGTGGAGAGAGTGATTAGGAAATAGCAGACGGCACAGTCTTAAAGCAGTAGTGAACTCAGTGTGTAAACTGGGGAGAGTGCCGGGAGTGAGGTCAGGCAAGTGGGTAGAGCAGGGTGCATGAAGGGCCAGGTAAAAGGTTCAGCTTCTGGATCTTCTTCCTGCAGCTGTGAGGTTCAGAGATTCAAGCCTGAAGAAAAATGAACAGCACAAAAGAGTATGTGAAACAGGAAATGAATTTATGAAGTGAAAGGAACGGTGCATTGTAATTAAACATGGGTGGTTAAAGTGAGCACTGCTCTGGTCAGAAGCAGGGATTGTTGACTGCTCAAGGGACCTTGGACAGGGTTGGTACAGTCAGCAGAATGGTTAAGAACATGACTTTGGGGCCAGGCTGCCTCTGCTCATCATTCCTAATCTGGGTGACTTTGAAAGCTGTGTAGTGAATTGTGTTTTGATTTCTCATCTCTCAAATGGGTAACTATAATAATCCCTTCCTCATATGGGTGCAATAAATTTAACCAGTGTACTATAGAAGCCCTCAAGAAACTGTAATTGTCACTGTTACTAGCATTTTAATTCATTTTGACATGATTGTTAGGACAATTTATAACCTCACCATTTGTTTTCAAGGTGGAAGTCTCTATGGCATAACCCAGTGATTTGTGACTGTGGCTACCTGTTAAAATCACTTAGTTGTCTTTGAAAGGTTCCAAATCTCATGCCTCAGCCTGAGGTGATGAGAGAAAAACATCTGGGGTGACTCTGATGTTGGTAGTTTTTCAAGAAACTTTTCAGATCATTCTAACTTGCACCCTGTTTGACTCCTACTGATACAAACTCACACATTTAGGATAGTCCATGACTGTGGTTGCAGAGATAGAGTTTCAGGAAGAAGTTTTCTACAGGTGGCTGATTTATTTTTTTTTTAAAGATTTATTTTTATTTATTTATTTATACAAGCACTGGATACAGTCAGAAGCATGGGAGGATGAGAGGATCCACCAGAGCCAGAGCAGGGAGCAGAACAGGCAGACTGACAAAGTACTCTGCTGAGGGGAGCAGCGGGCATGGCAGGAGAGGTCTGCATGCCATGTAGGACCCTTGCCGGCGGCCGGGGATCGAACCGGTGCTGCAGAGGCTGTAGGCAGCTTTCAGCTCAGTGCTCAACCACTGCGCCACCAGGGAGGCCCGTGGCTGATTTAATTTTGACAGAAAGGCAAGAAGGTCTTAACTAGAATGACAGGTTATTATGGTTCTGTTCTTTAAGTTTTTGTATTTTGACTGTTTCTTCTCATTTTTCAGGTATGTAGGAAATCTTCCAAGAATATTTGACTACTCTCCTTTAGACCCAACACAAGATTTCAACACACAAATGTAAGTGCCCGATTGTAGTTTTTTTAAAGAAAAGTCTCCAATGAAGTGTTCAGAGTTGGTTGTGACTTGGATGTAGAATTAAAAGCAATTCTCTTTTCTTCCTTATTTTCTATATTTTTAAATGAGCTTGTGTTACTCTTCTAGGAAGAAAGAAATTAATAAAGTTATCTGCAAAATACTGAGAGCAATTTGAAAATGGAATCAGCATCAAGCAGAATCAAATAAATATGTTATTTGTGAATAATTGAGATAAAATGTTCCACTAAAAGCAGCTGTAGCTGTACTTACTGAAATTCATAAATAATTACTCTCTTTCTAAGGGGCAACAGTGACCTTGTTTCCGTTTCTCCCTCCTGTCCAGGACTAAGTTAGGACATGGCCTTCTCTCAGGACAGTATTCAAAACCGCCCATGAAATCTGAACTCATTGAACAGGTGATGATGAAGGAGGAACACAAGGTATGTGTTTGCCACATTGACATGTAGGTACCAGCTCAAATGTGGATTTTCCATGATTTGGCAAATGGGGGTTGTAATTTCAACGGGCTGTGAGAATAGCTATTTCGTTACAGAGTCTATGGTGTCTGTCTGTTTGTTCTCAAAAATTGTGGTGAGGGATACACAGGGGCTGGGTTTCACATATACTTTATGGTTATATATAAGACCATGATCTTCATAGCATAAAATAGAGCTGAGATGGACAGAATGAACTGAATAAGAATATAAACATTTCTCCTTGGTGATGCAGTCTTGACTCTTATGGTATCTCTTTTCTCCTAAGCCTTAAATTTGTTTGCTAGGACTTCTCAAGAGGCTGGTGGTCAATGAACAGCACGTTTCTAGAAGGCCCCTAGAGCTGAGGATTTTGAATTTCTGGGAGGGTTAGGCAGGTGTTAATTTTGGTAAGCCACCAGGGGGCTTTGTTAAACACACTCAAGTCTGAGACACCCAGTCAGCATTCAGTCACTATCAATTGATAGAGTAACTGAAACCTGTGCGTTATTTCCTAATAGCGAGCCTTGCAAGCCATATGTCTGCTGGATGGCCTTCCTGGCTGCTCTGTTGTGCAACTTCAGGGGGCGCTGCTTTCAACCTGGTCTTTTTAAGGGGTGCCCTTGAAATTCTGCAGTGCACAGCTTACACAGCTGTTTTTGGCAGCTGTGGCTGCCATGGCCGCGAGTGTCCTGAATGGAAGGTGTGCCCCGCTTCCCCAGCCCCTGCGCTCCTTCAGAGTACAGTCTGGACTTAGTGGGAGAGAGCTTTCATTCTGTTTCTCAAGGGTTGACCTCTGTGCTCCATCTTAAGTCAGTCATCCTTAAATTAATCCTGCAACCTGAGAGCCAGACTCAAAAGGGAATAAACTCTTGGATATAATGAAGCCAGGTGGTTGGGGAAATTGAGCAAACAGGAGGAGGGAGATTATGAAAGGGACATTTAGAGGTAGTGATTGGGGTGGGAGAAGAAAATAGGTTATAAGGAGGGTGGGAAAGGAGATAGACATTTGGAATGGGCCAGGGCAGGAGATCCGAGAATGGGAGCAGTTCTCCAGATGCCTTGTTCTCTAGCATGGCAAGAAAAGGAGTTTCTTATCCGCTCAAGGCTGGAAGATCTTTATCTGGGATTCAGCTGAAGAGATGGATTGGGTATAGGGTTCAGATAGGATTTTTCACCCCACGTGTGTCACTTCTTGGGCCACATTGGGGCAGAGCCCACTCCCCCTTGGTGGAGGTGAAGAAGACTGGATGGGATTCAGGTGCCAGGCTACCTCTCTGAGCCTGCCAGGAGCACGTGACAATGGGCATGTCATGTCCCCTTTCAATCTCAGCAAGCAAATGGCAGAATTGGTGAGGGTGGTGCTCATGAATATGGCAAATGTGAAAGTCCTCTCTCTAATGTAAAAAATCTGTGTACATTGCTTCACTCAATTGTGCTTTTGGAATCTCCTCAATTGAGAAGGTGTGAATTGAAAAATCATCAATTTAGCAATATTTGGAAGTAAAGTTTGGCCTTGTTAATATCAAAGTGTTCTTTTACATTAGGAAAAAAAGTAGTCTCATGTAAGCAAGGCACATTATTTATTCCGTCTATGGATGAAGACTGCTTGGGTCCTTTGCCTCCTCCCCACCACCGAATTTAGTGACCCCTGTGTAGTAGCTCTGTGATCTCTGGGGGTCTGCAGCTTGCAAGTGGGAGCCTGCCTGTGCTCCATCAGACACAAAGTGCATAACCTGGCAGCATTTGGGCCACGTCTGGCCGGCAAGTGTATTTGCTTGGCCCACACATGGATATCTGAATTTCCAGCTTCTCTTAGACACCCAGAACTTCTGGCTATTCCAGGCCCATGATGGCTACTGGCTGGACCTGGGAGAGACCCTCCCTCCACACAGGACATGCTGTGGCCAGCTGGCTCCGGTCTCTTTGTGAGTCGTGACTTGGCCGGCACACTGGGTATTTAAATGTATGACCCTTGATCTAGATCATTGTAAAATCCTTTTCTGCTCTGAGGTGACATTTTCTAGTGCCTGAAAAAAAAGAACCCTGAATGGGGTCAGTGGTTCAATGTGTGCCTCGGCAGTGGCAGGGTGGGAAATGAGTGATTCTGGTTCCGGCCTCAAAACAGGGCTTAGAGTGATCATATGGTTTTCTTTTTGACTTTCGGTGCTAGTTTCAAGTTGTTTGTTGAACAGTAATTCATAATAAAATCTCTATTCCCCTTGACAGTGCAGGGAATTACTTTCTGAGACATCAGGATTTTCAGTGTAGTTGATTTCAGAAGAACAACTTTGTGAGGGTCTTTTTTTCTCAGGTAGCATGAGCCCTTGGTCAGGTGGTCTTGTCCCTGCCCTCTAGCGTTTGTGACTTGTAGATTATCCTGACATGTCCCAAGAGAGGAAAGCAGATATACTGAAGTGGAGAAGGGGATAGATTATCAGAGGAATGTATGGTGGAGGGGAGAGAGTATGGGAGAGGTAGAAATGTCTTTTTATGGGGCCACTACCACCAACTGGCCAAATGACTTGACAATACACTGTGCTTACAGAAGGCTAGGTTTGTCCCATGTGGTCACAGATACTGGAGCAGATGCTTGGTAACCTGGCCTAAAGTTACAAAGCCTATGAGTGGCATTGCTGGGGTTTGTCGTAGGCAGCCTGTGCAGCTGGTCACCCTCTTTCCTGCTCCTCTAACAGTTGCTACAGTACTTGTTTCATGCTCTAGTGCATCAGTGTGTGTGGGGTGGTACTTAAAGTACTAGGTAGCCCAGTAACTTGGGTTTCTCACCTCTTTTCTATCTTGAGTCATTTTTAGAACGTGTACTTCCTGGTATTAAATCGATCTGCTATAGAGCAAGTTGAACCCTAGTTTTTTTTTTTTTTAATCCAAGCTAAAAGAATTCATTTATTTTTCTTTCTGTTAAACCACTTGTAATTTAAAATTTTTTTTGGTAAAAACATAATAATAATCAAAAATAGAGAGCCTCAAAACTTTCTTGGGGTGCAGAGCCAGCAGCTCCTCTTAGCAGTATATTCAATAAATCCATCTTTCATGTTAAAAAAATAAATATTTTTTTGTAGTACCATTGGTTTATACTGTCATTAGCATTTTGGAAGTATAGGATCTCCCACTTCAGGTGTAGTCACTGTCGTGTACCCATCACCAAAGCATTCATAGTCCTGCACCATAATGCACTCTGCTCTCTCCTCTTCCTGTTCTCACTCCTCTGGATACCTCAGTTCTATGATCAGCTTTCAAAGATTGGTTTTAAAGTTTGTCTGTGTTTGAACCTTTCTTTGGTTTCTCTATATTCCACATATCAGTGACACCATCTGGTATTTATCTTTCTCCTTCTGGCTAATTTTGGTATGAGTTTATCTTTTTTGATTGAGGAGTATTCCATTGTGTATATATACCACATCTTCTTTATCCACTCATCTGTTTTTGGACACTTAGGTTGTTTCTGTATCTTGGCTATTGTAAAAAGTGCTGCAGTAAATAGGAGCGCAGGTTTCCTTGTGAATTAGTGTTTTTGTGTTCTTTAGTTAGATTCCTAGAGTAGAATTGGTGGGTCATATGGCAGATCCATTTTTAGTCTTTGGAGAAACCACATTGCTTTCCGCAGAGGCTGGATCAGTCTACATTCCTACCAACAGTGTAAGTGTAAGAGGTAAATCGTTTTTATACATACAAATTTATAAATCTGCATATTTAATGCACATTTCCATCAATAAGAAGATATGTAGTATTTGTTTGGGCGCTACCATTTCTATTATACATAAATTTGTTGAATTGATTCATAAAATTAAATTGTGTCTGCAGGAGTTAAAACCTCCTTACTATAAAAAGACATTTTTCTTCTTCAAAAAAATTCCTGCTCGCTATGCATTCTAGGTCAGCACTTTCAAATATTTTCATGCTAAATATTCTGTAATTTCTTACACCTTCCCATGATGACATGTTTTAAACAATTCTGCATTTCAAACAACCTGCATTTCTTTTTTAAAAAGATTTATTTATTTATGCATACAAGAACTGGGGTACAGGCCAGAGGTGTGGGGGGTTAGAGGATTCACCAGGGACAGAGTGGGGAGCAAAACAGGCAAATATACTGAAATACACTGCTGAGGGGAGAAGCAGGTGAGCCAGGAAAGGTCTGCTGCACCATGTGGGTAGCTCCCTGGCTGGCTGCAGAGGCTGCAGATAGATACATAGTGCTGTGCTTAAACACTTGTGCCACCAGTGAGGCCCAGCCTGCATTTCTTAAGTGATAATTCATTTGATTTCCCACCTAAGTAATCCTTGCCACATAATTCCCGGTCTCAGTTTTTGACCAGCGTGAGATAACTAAAGTTGTACTTCGAGATGCTATACTGTAGCCTCAAACATAAGAGCTTTGTTCTTACAGTCTCTGTGTTCCTAGGTTGGGCAAATGTAACATTTTTAACTGACCTTTTGAAATATGAAAAATAGCATGGGGAATGCCCTCTGTGCCTTGAGTTTAGGAGACTTGGGCTTTGGACCTGGCTTAGAAACTGCTGACCAAGGTTTGTTGTTGAAGGTCAAGTGTTTAGTCAGCACATGGCATACACCTGTGTATTATATTAGGGGGAAGCTGAGATGGGTCTTATCATCTTACAATGTTCTTATCTGTGTGAGGGTTACTCATACAAAGCCTCAGTCTTGCCTCTTGTTTGTTAATTAAAGCTTTAGGCTCAGGGGAAGATGAGCAGAGAGTGTCTGGCTACCTTCTTGGTGCAATGTTGAACAGAAAGTCCTGAGTAAGCATTTGGGAAGTTTCTGAACACCGTAGTCCTCTAATTTTAGCTGATCTCTTTTGCAATTGCTGATGGAGAAAGTAAGTACAGTATCCTATAAATATGACAGGTTTTTTAGGTGGTTACTATTTTGAAAACTATCTGGGGCTCCCTCTTGTAAAGTGAGCTGTTCAGACTAGCCATGCTTCAGGTGTCGAGAACCTTGACTCACAGTGAGACTGGGTGTTTCCTGAAGGCAGGCCTGGTTCTTGGTCAATTTTGGTTTCTTCCTTTCATCTTATATGGTGATTGACCCATGGCCAATTTTAAAACATGGTTTCAATGACTCAGTTCTTTGGTCCTTATTTTAGCTTTGTGTTTCAAGTAACTGCCTAATCTAGAGCATAGCCTTTAAGAAATCTATTTACATTTGCAAATATACAAAGAAGTAGAGAACAGCATAATGCATCTCTGTACCATTGCATCGCTTCAGCAATCACCGTTCTGCTGATCTGTCTTCGTAATTCCCCTTAAACTCACCTCTAACCCATCCCTTGCTGTGCTTTCTTTTCCCTTCTTTGCAGTATTTTAATACAAATTCCAGACATCCTCATATTTCACTGGTAAATGTGCAGTCTACATCTGTAACTTGCCATCTTTTTTACTTTTAACATAAAGATCATGTTGAAACTTGTTTAAAGTGTTAGAAGCACACCAACAAATTAAGAACCAGTCCTCAACATCATTTGATATCCAGTCTGAGGATTTTACCTGAAGTATCAAAAATGTCTTTTTAAAGCCCCCCTCTGTCTGGTCTGCAGGGTGACCTCAGATGTATGTTATTCCCTCCCCCCCATCAAATCATCCCCCATCCCTCCACCATAGTTGACCCTAATCACTGGGCCCCTTCTTTTTCTTTTTTGCAAGTTATTTATTTGTTGAAGAAGCTGCAACATTTGGCCCAAGATTGCTCTAAAGATTGTTTCCTTGAGGTACTGTTTAGCTTCTGTGTTATCTAAGTTGGATGTTAGATCTAGAAGCTTGATTAGATTAAGGGTCCACTTTTTTATTCTGATTTGTAATAGACTAAATATGGAGTGAACATAGTAACAGTTGAACATGCGAATTAGCAAGATGCCTCTGTGAATTCAGAGATGGAATAGGTGTGGGTCTGGGCAGATAGTGCCAGCTGCTGATCAAGGCAGAGAGATGGAGGAGCTCAGCGCTCACACCCACTTGTCCAGCTAGGTCTGGTCTCTTCAGGGTGACCTCAAGAGGGAGAAGGACAGAGTGTCTGTCTGCTTAGGAAGGCTTTCAGTTAACTTCTACAGCTTAAGAATTCCTATACATTTGTGTGAAAGAAGCTGAGGGAACAAAGGATTAAGAAAGGTCATTTGAGGGAGGGGGTGAAGAGGCTGGGCCAAAATCTAAGTGTGGGTGACCTTCTAGGGTCTTCACCATGGTCCCTATGAAGCTTCTCTGCCCAGTTGTACCATCACATGTTGGCACAGAGCAGCTGCCAATTTTTCAGAAATGATTGTCATGTTGCCCTTTCCAAAGCAGCTGCTTGGTTGGGGACTGGCAGCACATCAGGCTCGAAACACAGCCTGTATAGCACCAACTTCAGCAGGCAGTGCGTGGGTGCTGATGTGAACCCCTAAGCAGAAATGCACAATGTGGAGAGTGGCGCCTCCATACTGCTGGGTGTGGAGAAATAATTGTCAGACTGGCCTGTAATGTTGGCTCCAGAGGTGCATGGGTTTGAAGACAGCTTGCCCAGAGTTCTCGATACTGTCTTCTTATTTTGGCAGTGGTCAAATAGACTTGGGGACATCAGACATGAGAAGTAGGCACATGTATGCAAGAAGAGGTTTGGGGGGGCAGAGAGATTGAGATTGAGAGAGAAAGAGAGAGAGAGAGAGAGAGAGAGAGAGAGAGAAATGACTTTTCTATCTGTGATCCTGGGCTAGTTATTTAATGTCTTTGCCTCAATTTCCTCATCTGTCAGGTGGAGAAAATAATAATCATTGCCTCATTAGGTTGAGTGAGTTAAATAGGTACAAATATAATGAGCTCAGAACTATTCCTGGACCCTAGCACTCATCCAAGTTTCTATCTTGGATGAATATCTTATAGCACTCAGTAAATTTCTGTTGAATGGTTGAATAAATGTTTGCCAATATACCAAGAAGGCATTGTATCTTTCACATAGTTTCTAGAGGTGTATATAACCTTGTTAGATATAACTGGTCTTGGATTAGTGCTGGAAGCACATCCGAAGCCACATTCAGTATCAACAGGTAGTTTATGTACCAGTTCCAAGTCTTCAAATGCTCAAATGCTACTATTTGGGGACTTCTCTTTGAAGAGCTGCTGAGCACTGTTTCAGGCCCTCCACAGCATTCCTTCAGATTTGTTGCAGATACCTGTTGTCTCCCATTTCCCTTGTATGTGAGCTCCTGGAGAGTGGAACCCACAGCAATGCTCTGCATGAAGTAGGTGATCTGTAAATACTGGATGATTAGACCAAATCTGTTTTCAGCAAGACAGGAATATTCACCTGGGTTTTACTAGAAAGCATTGCTTAGAACATGCACAAAATGTGACAGGTAGAACTGCCCTTGGTCATAGGGAGATAGTCAGAGGCATTACTGGGTGCCTCTGACTGCGTGGTCTCTAGACCTGACACTGACTGGAGAGCCCAGGCAGGTGTGACACATGTCCGCTGCTTGGCAGGGGCTGTCTCAGTCTGAGGATGCAGGCCAGAAACAGACTGAAAGTTAGAGGAAGTAGAGGCACTTGGAGTATGTGCCAGATGGCAGCCCAGAGCTCTGTGGCTTTCGAAGGAGGAAAGTGGGGCCTGGAAGCTGCACTCGCGGAGGTTTTGTAAGGAAGTGGGTGGGCAGTAGCCAGACATAACTTTTGCCTGACTGGCAGAGCGAGGTTGTGTCACAGAGGCCTAGGATGTGCTATGGCTGCCTCTTCACCTTTGCTGCAGAGACCCTGGACCTGGAGTCTGAGCTGGAGTCCATTTTGATTCTGCAATTTGCTAGCTGCTTAGTAACCTTGACTCAATTGACACTTCTCTGCCAGTCTTGATTTCCTTAGCTCTAACATGGAGAAACCAGTACCTTCTACTTGGGGTTATTCCGAGTCTTCACTGAGGTGACATGTAGACCATCATTATGGAGGCTGGGCTGGAGGGACACTTAGAAGCATGTGCTCACTCTGTCCTCGAAGGCTACGTAGGCTCTTCCCACCATGCCCCATCAGATCCTCTCAGGCCAGTTTTGAAAGGTGCACTTCACACAGAGCCAAACTAAAGCTTCTTCCCTCTACCATGTGTAAGGGTCTCAGCCAGCAGCACAGAAGGGTCAGCAGCTAGCCCCTGATGTTTTTTTCTCTCTGCTCTCCTTTTGCCTCCTCCTGTCCCCTCTGGCCCTCCATAGGCTAGGATCATCAGATGCAGAGTTAGAGATGGAACCTTTCACTGAGCAAGAACCTTTGGCTCCCTCTTGGCTGCCTCTGTCATGGCTGGCCTTTTTTGTGGGGGTATACTAGTAGCTCTGTCAGAGAGGTCCCCTTGTCCCCTCAGGTACTCACCCTGATGCCCTCTCTAGTTGCCCTCTGTATCCCCCACCCTGCTCCTGCCTACGTCTCCTCTGCCAGCCGACCTCCCATCGTCTTACAGTGTCCTTTCTGGAGGAGGCTGGCCACCTTCTGAGCTTTCCTTTTAGCCCCTGGGGAAGGCCACACATGCTTGTCATGCTAAAGTTATCCCAGTCTCCTGTTCTTTCCACTCTGCAATCCTGGCAGTTGTAACCAATCTATCCAGTTCTTTGGGTGAGAGGCAGGCTCTTGGGGACCCCATCAAGAGCTCCTGGCTACTTCCTGTGCCCTGCTCCAGAAACAGTCCACGGTGGGCTCAGGAGCCTGAGTAGCTCTGTCGTGATTGCCTGGGGTATGCAATGCTATTTCCTTTTCTTGCAAGTACCCTAGTCTTTACAAGGGATTCTCTCATGGGGAGGAGAGGGAGATGCTGTGGAGCTCTCCTCTCCTTTAACTTCCTTTGGGGGCCCCCGCCATCCTGACATTCCTCGCGCCTGCTCTATTGGATGCTGCAATGTGATATTTAGCAAGTCCTGTGAGACTGAGAATGGGTCTTGTGTCTCTCTTCAGAAAGTGGGGTATTTATCACCCACTGTCCTTACTTTTGAGTCAACAGGAAGAGTCCCATCCTGTACTCATATTAGGTTCATAGTACAGGGCCTGGTACATTCTAAATATGTAATGAGTGTTGGCTGTTGTTATTCTCTAGCTTCTGTGGACTTCAATTTTCTTGTCTGAAAATTGGGACTCAGGGTAATTCCTGCTCTGCTTGCCCTTGAGTGCCAGTAATGTGTATGGAAGTATTGAAGGTTGATTTTCTTTTTATATTTTAGCCTCAACAGAATGGCATCTCTCCACGCATGTTTAAAGCCTTTGTAAGCAAGAGCCACCCAGAGTTCTCCTCCAATAGACAGCAGGACGCCCAGGAGTTCTTCTTGCACTTGGTGAATCTAGTAGAGGTGAGTCTGTCCTCAAAGGTGCTCGAAGGCTTCAGGAACTGTGTGGCCTTTCAGTGCTCCATCTGGGCTTGACTGGAGGGTACCCTTCACCCCGTTTACCTGAATCCCTCCTTGTCCCAGCTGGTTCAGAGTCCTCGTCTATGAGGCTTTCTCTGGCCCATTTGAAGTGCTGGCGCCTCATGCCTTGTTTTCTAGGTGCTTGTATCCCTCTGTTCTCCTTTTAGTTTGTCTGTGTTGTAGGAGTGTTTACCAGTTATTTCATTCTGGGTTTTTCTGGTCTCCATGACAAAATTCCTTGAGTCCCACGTGGTGTTTGGAGTCCTCCTGCCGCCACTCAGAGAAGGTCCCACTTTGCTCACCACAGAGTTAAATCATTAAATCCCGAGGATTTTTTTTTAAAGATTTATTTATTTATGCATATGAGAACTAGGGTACGGGCCAGAGATGTGGAGGGTGAGAGGATTCACCAGAGACAGAGTGGGGAACAGAACAGGCAGATTGACTGAAATACACTGCTGAGGGGAGCAGCGGGCGAGACAGGAGAGGTCTGCTGTGCCACGTGGTTCTCTTCCCTGGCTGGGGATCAAACTCGTGCTGCAGTGGCTGCTGATAGCTTCATAGGTTGTGTCTGAACCCCTTGTGCCACCAGGGAGGCCACTGATCCTGCGGATTTTTAAGATCCATGCAGGATGCATGATTTAAAGGCCTTATTCCCCCGGAGAAAAACAAAATTTTCCTTGATCACAAAAGTGTTCTTTGTGGAAAACATAGGAAAGCACAAAGGAGAAAATCAACATCCCTCCCATGCCAGCCAGCCCTGCAAGTCGCAGTGTCAGCATCTGGGGTCTAGCCCACCTGTCATTTTCCAGGCATGTTTGTTAATTTATTACATGTTATTGTGTAAGGTTAGTCACAACTAAACCTGTTGTGACTGTTTTGCTATCTCATCGCATACACGAATGTAGCATGATTTCTTTTTCATTTGTAGATGACAGGAATGCGTTTATAAAATCACATCATATTATATAATCACGTCATGCCTTAATTTTATTTCCTCTTCTTTCTCTTTACTTTGGCATTTCACCTAAGTCAGTCCCTTTCCCATCATTTTTAATGACTGTACAGTATTAATTCACAGGATGAACTATAATTTATCGAACCAATTTCCTATTTCTGTCTTCAGATAAATCCCATGGTTTGCTCTTAAAGCAGTCTGGGGATGTAGCATGCCCAGAGGGAGTGTTTAGTAACACCAGATTTATATTTGATTATGCCAGTTTTTATTCATGTCTTAATATTTATCAGTTCACTAATCTGATGTCATCCAACCTTCAGAGGAACCGCATTGGCTCCGAAAACCCAAGTGATGTTTTTCGGTTTTTGGTGGAAGAACGTATTCAGTGCTGTCAGACCCGAAAAGTCCGCTACACGGAGAGGGTGGACTACCTGATGCAGTTACCTGTGGCCATGGAGGCAGCAACCAACAAGGGTAACAGTCCTCGAGTGGGAAGTCAGCAGTGACTCAAGCCCTCGAACCTGAGATCGCACAGTTTAGCCCCTGAACAGTTGTATAAGGAGAAGACTCAGCCTAGATGGTGTCTGTTTGTACATCTCTTTTCATCCTCAGTTCCCACATGACTTCCTTTTGAGAAGAATGAAATGTTGCACAGATTTTGAGGAGGGGTTATGGATGGAACCTATTTCAGTGTCTATAAATTTGACCAACTGGTTGGTTTGGAGTCAACTCAATTTGGGGCAAAATTATTTGTAGTTCTTTTTTTTTTTTAAAGATTTCTTTTTTTTATTTATACAATAGCTGGGGTAAAGGGCCAGAGGTGCGGGGGTGAGGGTGAGAGGATTCACCAGAGACACAGAGCGGGGAGCAGAACAGGCAGACAGGTGAAATACACTGCTGAGGGGAGCAGTGGGCGGGACACAAGAGGTCTGCTGCGCCATGTGGGAATCTCCTTAGCAGGCAGGGAATCGAACCCTCGCTACAGAGTCTGTGGACAGCTTCACAGCGCTGCACTCAATGCGCTGCATTCAACCTGCTGCGCCACCGGGGAGGCTCTGTTTGTAGTTATTTTTTAAAAATTTTCACTGTAATCATTTGTGCTAAAAATCTGAGGAAAAGGATTAGAACATTTTTGGATATGAGACATTCAAACAGAGGACTCTTGAAGTAACCCAGCTTTGGTATCGAGTATTTAAGATTCCTCTTCTAGGGATAAAGTGCAGCAGGACTTTGTGTGAGGTTTTAATGGAAGGTAGAAGTAGAAAAAAGGCAAAATATCCATTAGATAGCTTTTCTCCTGCGAACTGGTCATTTCTTTAAAGTTCAAGAACTCTCTAGGTTGTCTTTTTCCAACGTTTTGGGGAGACCCATTTATTGTGCTAATTGGAAAGTGATAATTATGATGGTTATGATTACGATGAGATGTTTCCCCTTTTTCATAAGCTCACAGAACTTTAGACCATTTACAAATCCTTATCCACTACACAAAGTGTGATGTCGAAGGTGTTTTTTCTTTTTAGAACTAGACTTAATTGCTTTGCCTTGCCGGAACATGTAAGGGTTCCTGACTTACATGTTCTGCTTAGTGCTGTGATATCTTTAACCTATTGCTTATAATTTTTAAGTGGTAACTATTTTCTTTTAGAAAAGAGATTTATAATTTAATCTCTGGAAATTGATAGCTGGGAGAAGCTAATGTTTGCATTCTAGAAATAATATGCATCTTCAACTGTGGACTGGGAGTGAATATAAGAATCTTATTCAGATGTGTTTAAGAAAACATGTATAGCTGTGTAATTATGCCCCCAAAATTGATCAATTAGAAGAGACTTTATTTTGTAACACAAAAAAAAAACTCTCAGAAAGGCCCATTCAAAATTTAATTAAAATTCTGACTCACAGGTAATTTCTAAGAACAGGTTTTCTGACTTTTGGGAAGCTCATGGTATATTTGCTTTTTTTCCCCTTGATGTTTAATCATTTTAGTTGGGGCAGTGTAGAAAGACCTTCAACGTTGGGGGCTCTAACACCTAAGGTGTTGGGTAGCCCCCGACAAAGTTGTCTTGGCATGTTGGTCTGTGTCATGGTCTGGTGCAGTATGTAACTGAAGTGCTTACATTTCATCTGCTTCTTGGCTGTGACCTCATAGTAGCTGGCGGAACCCACGAGAAAACATTTAACAATGGCTCTGAAAGTTGCTGGAAGTTCAGCGGTAGTTCTTTTTAGTTTTACCTGTTTTCTTTTCCTTTGTAATTCTGTTTTAGGACAGCCTCAGGTCATAGGAATGTTTTATTTTTAATTTATTTTTATGTCTGATGATTGGCCACATTGGATCTCCTGACACAACTGAGCAGACCTCATGGGCCTCATCTGTGGGTTAGTGGAGGGGGAGGTGACCAGAGTTTTCAGTCAGCTTTGTTGTTGATTGACTGGTTTTGGCCTTGGGCCTTGGTTTTTCAGCTTGGTAGGGAAGGGCCTGGGAAGAGGCAAGCCCTCCAGTCACTTACACTGTGAAATTCTCTGGTGTGAAGGCTTTGTGGTTGGAGGGTGGCAGTTGGGTAATTATCGTCTTGGCCTCTGGAACATGAAAGACCAGATTCATGCATCACTCACATCACACGTGGGGTCTGAACCTCTCACCTGGGCTGGAGTTCACAGTTCTTTCCTCTCAGTCTCTAAGGGTACAGGCAAAATAATGTAACTCAGCGCAGCTTTGTCAGTGCCACACTCCCGAGGGGAACTTAGAGGGCAAATAAGCCCTGAGCATCTGACAAGGGGAAGATTGTCCAGAGAGGGTGCTTTTCATTTTAAGAAGGTAAGAGCAATTGCAAGATTATTCTTGTGTTCTTTCACTTAGATGAACTTATCGCCTATGAATTAACAAGAAGGGAAGCAGAAGCCAACAGAAGACCCCTTCCCGAGTTGGTTCGTGCCAAGATACCATTTAGTGCCTGCCTTCAGGCCTTTTCTGAACCAGAAAACGTTGATGATTTCTGGAGCAGTGCCCTACAAGCAAAGTCTGCGGGTGTGAAGTAAGTGTGTGTGTGTGTGTGTGTGTGTGTGTGTGTGTGTGTGTGGGCTTGTGTGATGCTGGTGGCCTGAGGAGGGGGCCTGGAGAAGTGTGTGGGGGCGAGGGAATGGGGTGCCATTGAGTCTGGCATGCTTGTTCATGTGTGGTGATGAGGCCATGATTAACACACCCCTCACTTGCGTGAGACCTTCCAGTGGAACAGGCTTTATAATCTAGATGATGTGCCAGGGAGGGAATACCTTTTTTTAAAAAAAAACAAAGTTGTAGTTTATAGTTTATCCTCAGTTAGGAATATGCTTTTTTTTTTCTTTTTTTGCCAGGAGGGAGTAGCCAAGAAACTCCCCCTACTCCCACAAAAGGCAAGAACGATGAAGAAATTATGAAAGTACTTATGACAGACTTCAGTAGTTAAACTCCATTGTGATAGATTTGAATTCCCTAATGAAATATTGGCTTACAGCTTGGTTGACTGTGTTCTCATCTGAGACCTGGGGCTCAGGGCATGTCCAGGTGGGCCCCTGAGTGTCACTCAGATAAGCTGCTCAGGACTCAGGCAGTGCTGTTGTTTCCACATTGTCCTGGTCGTCAGGTATATAAAATCTCCCCTCCTCCTTTTGACACCTTAATTTATTTTATACATTCAAGTCCTTGTCAACACACTTCATATAATTGAAAGAAGCATACCTATTATGGTATAGGATGAGGGGAGGTCTGGAAGTTTGGCTCTGGGAATTCTGCTTTTTAGTCCTAGTCTTTTGACTAGGACTCAACTGTGGTTGACGTGAAGGGAAGTGAAGGCTGGAAAGAGCTACTTGTGGCTGTTTTAGAATCTCAAGTAGCAGATAAACCTAAATTATTTACTAGCTGTGTCATGCTAGCTTATGTCCCTAAGGGTTCCTCTTTATTTCAGATTATTAACTTCTCATACATTAAAAATGGGAAAGCAAGAGGAATATTTTAAATGCTAAAAAGAAGCCATGTTTTCTTAAAATAATTTTTAAAGTAGCTTCTTCCTAACCAAATATGGATGAATAGTAGTCCATTCAATTATTCTTTGCAGGGGAAGTTTTCATCCCAGGACAGCACATTTTGGTGTGTGTACATGTGTACGTGTGTGTGTGTGTGTGTGTCTTTGCAGATAATGCTTGATGAATTGTGAGTTTCACTGGAGACCCCATTAGGTAGTTAGAAATCTACATCCTGTATTAGCAGTAGAAACAATTTATTTCCCCAGCACTATTGAGATACAATTGATATAACATTTTGTAAGTTTAAGGTGTTGATTTGACTTTATTTTTTTACTTTAATTATTGACAATAAGTTGAAGAGTCTTCAGTCATTATCTCTTTCTCTTTAAGCATTGATTCTGATTTTGTATGGGGATGAGGCAGCCTAGAACTTCTGGGTGAGACATATTCTCCAGCACTGCAGAACGGAACCTTCATATCGCTTGGAAAAGATCCATCTTTAAAATGAAGCTAGGAGGCATTAGCTTTCCACAGGGACTCTGACCGCAGGGCTAGCAGTCAGGAGATCTGGATTCTTCTCCTGGGTCCCCTTCCCAGCTCATTTTTTATCCTGCAGCTGAGTCCCCACCCAGTGTTCTTATTCCACATGTAATGGAGGAATAATACTTGCTGACCTGCTTTTCTTTCAAATGCTACTAAATATTTATATGTCAGCACTCCTACTATCTAAAATCCTGTGGAGGGATTTCTTTCTCTAATCCTTAACAGCTGCTATTAAACAGGTTTATTCCTTTTTTCTGTCTTTTGCATATATACATGCTCTTACACATTTATGTACATGAAAAAATTTGATACTGGATATATTACAAATACTAGTTGAAAACTAATTCGTGGGAAAGAAAAAACAATGTTTTAGGGCAAATAAGCAGCCTTTTATTGCATCTTTATTATTGCCAAGTCATGTATTAAATATTCCTAAAAATATCATTTCATCCTCTTAGTACTACTCTGAGGTAGGTACCCTTACTCTCCCTGTTTTAAAGATGAGGCAATAAAAGGAGAAGGAATTTGCTTATAAATGGCAGACTTGGAATTCAATGAGGTGCCTTGAGTTCCAAGTTTAAACTCTTCATCCCTGTGTTATTCCTTATCATGCTTGCTTATCTTTCTATCCTTACAATCTTATATAGTCTTTTATCCTTATAAACTTATGTAACCTTTCATTCTTATTGTGTCTTACCATATTACAAATAATAATTTTGAGGAAACCAGTTCAGTGGATTCCTGAAAGGTCTTTTTCTTATTTCCAGTAATCTTGTTATATTAACTAGGGGCCTAGAACTCTTTTTGTGTTAGACTTTGGCCTTCCTGAAAGGCCAAGAAGAAGCAAAAGATGGCCTACAGATCTTGGTAGATGTTTGGTTTGTATGGGCCGAGCATAAAGACCTTCTTAAGTGGTCCTGAGCAGACAGCTTCTGGGAAGAATATTAAGTGTTTAGAAATTTCATTCGCCCAGCAAATATCATTGCTTATCTAGTGCATTCTAGGCATTGGTTTGAACAAGATCTAGTTCCTTTCCTCAAGCACCTCACAGATTAAGGGTAAACAGGGAAAGATTTTTTACTTGACCTTCATCATTTATGGAGAGAAAAACAAAGTGTGGGCTTGCAGAGCACAGGCTTTAGGTAAATGAACATCATGTGAAACCCTAGTGTAGGATTTACTGTTACGTGACCTTGGCTAAGTGACCTCACCTCCCAAAGCCCTGCTTCCTTATCTGTAGACTGAGGATAATAACAGTACTTTCTTCAGAGGTGAGGGTTGCTTTGCAGGGTGCTTTGCAGGGTGTCTTACACAACTTATTACTGTTATCTTTATCTTTTTTTTTTTTTGCCTTGAATTACACAGTTTGAGTGTGGTCGATTGTTCTATTTTCCACCTGGAAATGGAAAGGATAGAATTGTTTTTCTTTAGTTTCCAGCAACATTGGAAATATTAATGAATTCAGGGAGAGGAACAGCTCTAGCTACATATTTGAGGTTTTCATTGTTTGGCTTAATTGTAATTAGTGAACATGTGCTGAATTTTAAATAATGACAATAGATTGTGAGTAGACAGCACAGTAGTTTGGCAGGAGCAGTTCTAAGCCCTTGTATGTCTTAATTCATTTAGTTTCACCAATTCTTTGAGATGAATTTGCTGTGTGTCTTTCTAGACCTTTTTAAATGGCTTACACTCTAATTTTCTTTAATAAATACATACATTTTCCAGAAAAATTTTAATGGGGGAATTAATGTTAGAAACAAAAGGGTCAACAGTGCATAATTTATAACTTTGTTGAATTTAACTAACAGATTCAATGTTCCAATCTACTTTTAATGAATGCAAAGTATTAATTTTGAGATTGATTGGAACAAACATATATCGAGCAATTACTACATGTGTGTTTACCTTGAGACCTTATAGAGGTTACAAAGATGAATGAAGTGTATTTACCAATATAGCAAATAGAATGTAGATACCATTAACCTGTGTTAGGTACTCTCAGGTTGTATTTACCCATAACAAAGTGAGGTGTTATATTTTTAACCCCCTCCCACCACCCTCACCCTGCCCTAGTGTTCACCCTGCTTCTACCCACCCAGTGGTATTACCAGCTGACACCTCATCCAGATTCTGACCATGAACAATTGCTAGAGCTCTGGGGTTCTTGCATCACATTCTGAAAAGCACTTATTTATTGATGACTTTTGTTTGATTTCACTGTTATCTACTTTCCATATTTCAAGCTAATGTGGTAAGAGGAAGAGGTCAGAGAGATAACTTTCACATTATTTGGAAATGGAGTTTGGTGGATTTGGATTATGACTGTGCTTCAGTAAGCATGTTGTCTTACTGTTTCTTAAAAGATAGGAACCTAGTTATGGATAATCTAGCAAGCTATTATAGATAATATAACATGTAATTACCACAGAGTAGCCAGGATAAGAACAGATCTGTTACTTAGAATGATTATGCTCCTGTTTTTGTTTTTTAAAGAATTTCTTTTATTGACTGTACCTTTCTACCATCCTTGTGATGGAGAATTTGGATGCTGAGTGGTTAAATAAAGGTCAGTGCCAGACTAGAGCAGTGTCCAAGGCCTCATAAAAAAATTTCATGCTATTTATTGTTTATTGTTTCATGCTATTTATATTATTCATGATATTCATGACAAGATAATCATGCTAATTCCTGAGGTGTACATAATACATTCAGGTGTGTCAAGCAGCTTCATATCATTTCATAGTCCTGGCAGATGGATATTACTAATAAATCCACTTTATAGATGTAAAGATTGAGCTTCCGGGAGGATCAGTGATTTGCCCAGATTAGGAGTGAACTAAGTAGTATTCACAGGACCCAAATCCATGTCTTCTGACTTCTTTGGTCCAGTGCTCTGTCCCTGTGCAGTAGCTTCTCTTGTACACTAGGGGGCAGCAATGCACTTGCGTTTGTTTTCTGAATTCTGGGTTGATGCATTTCAAGGCAAGGATTTACATATAAATTAAAAAAAATAAAATTACATAAGGCTGTACCCCACCCCCCCAAAATTGGAAAAGTGGAGTTTGGGTGGTGGTGGGGTTGTGGTGTTCTAGAATCTTTCATTTTAAAAGGTAACTATAGTATCAGCTGGCTTCCTTTTTAAAATATACCTACCACACTGACATTGACACTCAAAGAGCAATGATGATAAATAAGATGATTAAGGTGGAAGGAATGAACTGGGACATGACTTCGGTGTACAAGTTGAATTGTTCGTGCATCAAATTGTCAAACCCAGGTCCAGGCAACTCCGTCTTTCAGAAAGGTTGAAGGCAATAAAGACATTGATCATATGCATTAATTTTAAAGTTTAGCTTAGATATTTAAATAGTTACCCCATAATACATACATCCATCCATACACACACACATACATATATCACACACACACACACCCTCTTGGATCCTTGTGAACAGAGATTTAGGTACTATTTATAGTATTTTAATGACGCCCTGGCATTTCCAGCAGATAACTTCAATGGAAGTTCCACTAAGCCTCCTTAGTCCAACCCTGTGCCCAAAATAGTGATTCTTGATGGAGGCTGGAGTGGTGGTATATCAGGATTGCTCAAGGAGCTTTTTGAACCCCTATGATGTACACATCATGCACATGAGCCTCCACATACCTACAGCTTTCTATACTAAATTCTTGCAAGAATCTTTTAGAGAAAACAAATGTTTGTGGTTGAAAGTACTTTTCAGAAATATAAAATGCCAGACAAAGTAAAAGTAAGCATCTTGTAACAGGCCCCAGATCATTTCCAAGGGACATCCTTCTCCTTTGTTAGGAAAGGGCAGGGCGGTGGAGCAGGAGCGGGTGGGTGTGTGTCCGCTGTGTCTGTCTGTGTGCCTCCCTCAGCCCAGCCATGGAGCTGCCAGGTATGCCTCGACAAGCTTGTGATGCTCATGAACTGTATTCATAATTCTTATTGCCTTGTTTCATTGATATAATCCCCTTGTGTTTCCCAGAACATCTCGCTTTGCCTCATTCCCTGAATACTTGGTAGTGCAGATAAAGAAGTTCACTTTTGGTCTTGACTGGGTTCCCAAAAAATTTGGTAGGTATTTTTTGCATGCTTTTGCTTGAAACATCCAATTAGTCATTTAAACAACATGGCATGTGAAAGAGCCCTTGCAGTTGGCTGTCAGAAATAGTTCCATTTCATTCTGTTTTCATTATTCCCACCTTTCTCTTTGAATCAGAGTATATTCTAAGCACCAGCCGTAACTCACCACGTGCTACCCACCCCCTTTACTAACCAGTTCTGGAATGACAAAATTCTAGGCGTGAAAATAGGATCCCACATTATCAGACAATACTTCCCCACTTTTTTTCTTTTATTTTTTTTAATTGATGTATCATTGGTTTACGTTGTTGTTATTGTTGTTTTGAGAGCATATGCATAGTCAGTGGAGCACACCCACCAGCAAAGCTCCCGCATTCTTCTTCAGTGGACCAAAGTCCATTGTTCCCAAATTTTAATGTGAACACAGATGACCTGAGATTTGGTAAAATGCAGATGTCGATTCAAAGGTCTGGGGTGGAGCCTGAGGCTCTGTATTTCTAACAAGCTTCCAGGTGATGCCAACTCTGCTGCTGCTGGTCCAAGACCACACTTTGAGGGGCAAGTAATCGACGATACACTCTTAGCATCTCTTCGCCACCGCTGAAGCGCACACGTGTTGCCAATGATGTTGACATCAGTCGTCCAGATTTTATTAATAATAAAATGAGTACAGTAATGTGCATTAAACAATCCAGAAAAGGATGTGATTTTGGTTTTATTGGGCTTTCTTTTTGCTAATTTTAAAGGCCCTCTATCATTGTAAGTTTGATTTTCCAGACAATGCATAGGAATATTTCCCCTACTGTCATGATCTCATATTAAGGTTAGGCTGCCCTCAGCAGCATGGAAGGATGAACAGTTTTACTCTCTGTGGTTTGTCAAGGTAATACCTCAGCCTTTTTGCAGTCTTTTAAAGTTTTGTTTTTGAGCACATAAGGAAACCCATTCGTCTTCGACTGGTTAACTGAGCACTTATCTGCTCATCTGAAAGGGAGGTAAAAGACAGAAAAATTGGCAGAAGTGATTTCCCAGAAACTTCCAGCACTAACAGTTTACATTGCACTTGCTTGCCAAGTGACATTACGTGGGGCTGTGACTGATTCTGCAATAGATCTTTGCTCTTCTTGAGGAGGACATTTTGTGGGCAGGGAGGTGGGCAGAGGGCAGGACACTCAACACCCAGCCTCTCCACTGTGGATCTAAGAAGTGCTTGTGTGAGAAAGCTGACTTCTAAAGGTTTTTAACTGCTTTGGAAAGAGTCTTCATTGTCCTTGAAATTTTTGTAAAAGAATAAAAATTCAGAGCAGATTTTATAGACTTGCTGAATTTAAATTAGCCCCAAAGCTTTCTTTAATAAACCTGAATTTTTCTTTTGAGGAACAATTATATTCATTTTATTGGCTAAACATTATGTTTGTTTTTGCTGCCCCTGAGATATGAATTGTTTTTTTAATTAAGCTCTGTTCTTTGGATTGTGCTTTAATATAGGATTTACCTGCCTGGCATCAGGGCTGGTTTTGGAAAAAATATTTTCAGTTTTTGTTTCTTGCCCAGAACACACATCCTGTACCAGTATTTGAACCCATTTTTCATTATTATCATATCTGAACATGTGTAGTATACTATCTATTACTATACTGCAGCTATTACACTGAAAAATTTTGTATTTGAATAAGTCACACTTGATACTCAATTAATTTCTTTAAAATGTTATTATTTATTAACTGAGGTAGAATAATAACACTACCTATCTTGACTAGGGATTGTCTAGTGTCTAACAAGGGCAGGGTTAAATGTAAATGAAAGAACTGGGCTGGTGTAAGAAATATGTGACTAGCTATCTTGGTCTTTCTTGGGTATTCCTATTTTGAATAAAAACATGGCTTTGAAAAACCCATGTCTGCTAAATGAATCTGAATAGCACATATATGATGTTCAAGGTCACGGGGGTAATAGGGAACAGTGGAGTCTGAGGCAGACTGGCATAGAAGGCTCACATTGTTTAGAAGCTGAAGGGCAGCGGTTGTAGCTATGAGCCTATGCTATAACTTTATGTTTTGCAAAATAAGTTGAAAATCTGGATTTTTAAATTCTATCCTCTGATTTAAACACTGGAATTTATTGCCAAATGGCTTTCCCTATTAATTCTAGTCCAGCGTGAAATCCTGCCACCCTCTATACTTTCTCCTGGTTCGCCATTAAAATCTGATCAGTCTCAGTGAGTCTGCTGGTCCAGGGATCTACTCCAGGGCCTAAAAAGCATACCTTAGCTCTGCCTAGACACATGCACATAGAGTTAGTGGTGCTGGTTTTAGGAGGTGATTGTGGGTTTTTAAAGAGACTAGTGAATATAATCTCTCTCATTTTGCAGATGTTTCCATTGATATGCCAGACCTACTTGATATTAGCCATCTCCGGGCCAGGGGGTTACAGCCAGGAGAGGAGGAACTTCCAGACATCAGCCCCCCCATAGTCATTCCTGATGACTCAAAAGGTACCATCTTCCCCCAGGAGAACTTGCTCTACCCTCTCCTCCTGCTCTGCTGGAACAATCGCTTTCTTCCACGCCTGTGACATCCTCTGACTGCCTTCCTATGTTGTAACTCAACATAGACATTCAGAAGTGAGACTTGGTTGCAGCAATAAACTTAAAATAGAATTGACATGAGGGGCAGATCCATCCCAAGTAGTTGAAATGGACCAGTGGAAATCCCTGGCAAGAGAGGGCAGCAAATCTCCAAAAAGTTTTTAGGTTATGTTCCTTTGCTCTCTCCTTCTTGTCTCTTTAGTGGATCTGTAGGGAAGAGAAAAGAGTGTTTTCAGCAGGCTCTTAGTTTAGGGGAGCTCTGTCATTCTTTCGAACAAAGTGAAAGGGGAAACTCAACAGTGTGTGGTAGTTTTAAAAATCTTGCCCACATCTCACCTCCCCAGCTTAGTCACTGTTTCATGAGCAAGGGAGCAGTTTAAGTTTCTCTTTCAGTCTGTGAAGGCTAAATTGCTCATTGCTCAGAATACTTAACTTTTTAGGGAAAAGGGCATGCAAACAATAGTTGCCTCGCCTTTGTGGGCTAAAGGACAATGTCCAAAAATCTTCGTTTCTTTACTAGTGCATTTATGATGGTGAAATCACGTTTGAGCTGGCTGAGTTTGCTCATCTATTTACTGTCCATCTTTCTAATAGTTTATGAGGTAAATTAACAAACAGTGACAGCAGTCTGGGCCCCTACATGGAAGGTTTTTCCATCAGTTGAGCAGGGAGTATTATTGGTGGTCATGTTCTGGTGCCTAAGGAGAGTAAGATGAATCCAGGAGGAGCAGGGTAGCATTCAAAAGAGGCATCCAGGTTCATTATTCTGTAATGCTGAACCATCTATTAAATTCTAGAGCATGGACAGGAGACAAGAAATGAGGGACATATAGGTTATTTGATACAGATGGTTCATTAAAGGGTCTAGAGAAATAAGAGATCAATACGAGCATCAGAGAAATATGGGATTGCTTATTAGCCCTGCTCCTCCTTTCTCCAATTTTCCTAACAGAAGACTTGTTCGTAATTATGGAGGTCTTAGAAATGCAGGGAGAGAAATTATTTAGTTCATTGCTCCTCGGAGCATCATGTTTTATCTGGTCTAAATGCCTGAAACCTGGTCCCACGACAACTCTGTTGTGCAGGCGGGGGTAGTCTGCATGGGGCTTGGGTGGTTGACAATAGGGTGAGCTCCAGAGGGTGGGGGCATTAGTACCCTGGGCTGACTATTTTTTTCTTTCTAAAACTGTTCATGGTGGTTTGGTCTCATTTTCTGCCCTTTTCCTTAATTTCCAGATCGCCTGATGAACCACTTGATAGACCGTAGGTATCTTTTAAAATTGTTTTCAGTGTCCCGTGATATTATTGGTCTGTCACATTATCTGTGGGAGTTCAGTAAAGGGGCAGCGATTTCTACATGTGCAGCTTTTTGCTGGGAGGAAATGCTTCTTGGTCTGCAAGTGGAGTTAGTAGCACATGTCAACCTGTGGCATGGTGCTGAGTCCCAGTTGCTTAGATGAGTGATGATGAGCATGAGAACCAACCGGCCCTGGGGTGGAGTCTTGGCTCTGCTGTTTATGATTGTGTGACCCAGAATAATTTACTTAACTTTTTTTTTAAAAGATTTATGTATTTATGCATACAAGAACTGGGGTACAGATGTTGGGAGGGTGAGAGGATCCACCAGAGACAGAGTGGGGAACAGAACAGGCAGACTGACTGAAATACGCTGCTGAGGGGAGCAGCGGGCGAGGCAGGAGAGGTCTGCTGCACCATGTGGGTATCTCCCTGGCCGGCCAGAAATCGAACCCATGCTACAGAGGCTGCAGATATCTTCACAGCATTGTGCTCAATCTGCTCGCCACCGGGAAGGCCCTACTTCACTTTTTTGAGCCTCAGTTTTCTCATGTGTGGGAAGTCGGGGAGAGTGTGGGTTAGGCGGGTGGGTATAATGATGCTACTTCTTTCCTCTCTGGCCACATGAGCAATTAGGGCACAGTGGCCATTTTTCTTACCACCACTGCTGCTGCACATTTAGTGAAGACAGATGACTGACAGGAACTGGTAGTACGGTTAATACTCTTGGAGTTATTAGTTTTATCGGATTGTTTTGTTAAGTTTGTAGTCTTTTAGTTCCTTAATCCAGCTGGAATTGATACTTGTGGTTTTCAAAAAAATCAGCTTTTTGTAGTGAATTTTTAGATATTAAGGGAGTGTTTAACACTAAACACTCTGAATCTTTGTCCACAAAGCCTTTCTGGAGGTAAACTGTTGTAAATTTTGAAGTTCCAGAGTTCCACACTGCAAGTGATTGATCACGTGGCTTAGACCTCCACATTTCCATACTTGGCTCAGTTAGGATTTGCTGGTTGCTAGAAGAAGCTGTTAGGGTAGCAGGGATCTTGGGCAAACTACTCACACTGTGAATAATTGTAATGATAATAATTGCTGTTAGTATTTTTTGAGTGGTTACATGAGTCACATTGCATTTATTATTCCATAAATTCTTTCAATGGTATATAACTTTACTGTTTATACAAAGTCCAGCTTTTCATTTGGTTATCACAATAAGGAGGCAGGCTAGGTGACGTTTTTACAGAGGATAAAACTAAGAGCCAGCAAAGTTCAGAGACCCAGAAATTGGGACCAGAACCAGGGCTAGGAGTCGAGCATACTTTTCATGTCATTTGACTTTTCCTGGCTTCTGAGAGGTGTCCTGAATACCCCTGATCCTGTGGAAGGTTGGGCCAGGGCATTGGGCTGCAGGAGGCAATGGGGGATGGAACTGACTTTGCTAGAGGAGCACTCTGCCATTTGCCAGCGTTATTGGTTAAGCCTAGGCATATAAATATATATATGCACACCTACACACACGTATATTATAGTTTTATTATCCAGATTTGCATTCTCAAACACTATAGTTTAACCGTTTTCTAATATACCTTTTAAGTCTGCTTTAAACTGTGCATTTCCATATCTTAGTCCTTTAACCTCCCAGTTTCCTATAGTTTTCTCCAAACCAGATTTCATTGATTGAATTCCTGTAGTGAAGATTAGTATGCTCCTCCATCCTTTGTATTTCTTGTAAAGTGGAGTTGGATTTAGAGGGTTAATAAGATTCAAGTTTGATTTTTTTTTGACAAAACTACTTTGTGTGTGGTATTCTATTTGTTTTCAAGAGGAACGTGATAGCTTATGTCTTTGTGTGTCTGTGTTGTATTAGTGTTCAGTGACTATACCTTGGGAGTTGAAGAATAGTGTGAACATAGTGTAAGATATTCTGGAGGCCCCACCATTGCTTTATCAGGCAAGAGAACAAAGCCACCCTCAGAGGCTCCATCCTGTTGCTTATGCAGGAATCTTAAGCCTGCTATGATATCTGCAGTTATCACCATGGGAGAAAACAGAATATCTGGGGTTAATTTATATTTGTATCCTGCCTTTCTTAGATTTTTAAAAGGAGTAACTCTGATTATTTCCTTGTAGAAACTATGGATTAACAATAGGAATCCTCTCTGGTTGCGTTTTTACTGTTATTTACTTGTGTCTGGTTAACCTTATTTTTCACAAAAATGGAATTATACATTTTCAATGCAGTATTTTATTATTTACATACATATGATTTTTTTTTTATGAAGGTACACTTCTTAAACTGAATTTTAGGGAACATTAGCATCTTAACCAGATGTTGAAAGATGTTCTGAGAAGAGTTTCATAGTTTTTTTTACTGTACGAGTCTTTATTACAGAACTTTTGAGTTTCACTATGCTAATGCATGTTGTGAATTTTTAAAAAAGATTTATTTTTATTTATTTATGCATACAAGAACTGAGGTATAGGTCAGAGGTGTGTGGGGAGGAGGGTGAGAGGATCCACCAGAGAGAGAATGGGGAACAGAACTGACAGATCTACTGAAATACACTGCTGAGGGGAGCAGCGGGTGAGTCAGGAGAGGTCTGCTGAGCCATTTGGATTAGCTCCCTGGCTGGGGATTGAACTCATGCCACAGTGGCTGGTGATAGATTGATAGCACTTTAACTCCTGTGCCACCAGGGAAGCCCACATGTTGTGAATTTTTAAGGGGAGAATAGAGAATGTAGGTTTTAAAAACTTGTTTGATCTTGGGAAGCCCTTGTCTTGTAGTTCAATAAACATCTCTCTTTGAACAGGTATAATAGAATATACTTGGGCCTCACTGTTGTCTTACATTATTGCTTTCTTAAAATTTTACATTGATGAGATAGTCTATGTATCTTCTTTTTTGTGAAGGACTTTGGTAAACACATTTTCAAAGTAATTTTGTAGAACAGATATCTCTGTTCCTAAATTCTTCTTCTAATTTCATTTTTGACAGAATTTTCAGTGGATTAAAGCCTCAGGACATGAAAAATATAAGGGATATATATTGTGCTCCTGTTGCTCTCCACCTTTGGTATAATTTGAGAGCACAGTATAGGTGTGTATGTGTTCATATATGCACACATATGTGTATGTATGCATATAAACATGTATGTGTACAGATATATGTATATGCCTACAAACACATACACAGACATATGCACACATCTATATCAATTATCTCTGTTACTTTGAAAAGAAAACAAAGTTCTGTCTATACCAAGTTGACTTATAAATTGATCCTTTTAATATCTTAGGTTTATACAATTAAAAAACACATTTTTTTCTTCTATACTGAACATTTGGGCTCTCTGTTCACCATAACAGAATGTTTCCTTTGATTACTGATATATACCCCAAGGCCAGCTGTAATTTTCTGTGGGGTTTAAGGAATAGACTCTTTGGCCTGTAGATAGTGCTTTACTCAACATTCAGTCATGGGAGAGGCTGTTATAAGTCTGAGAGGCTGAAATGGTTGTGGGAATACACTAGATCTTTCTGTATGAAATTAGAGAATTATTTTTTTAGTGCTTAGATTTTGAGGTAATTGCCATGATGCCTATTTAGGCCAAAGAGATAAATCCAGTTCGAATAGCTGAATACTTGAGTGACTTAAAAGAAAGTTAAATCACCATCTGCACACTGAAAAAATTGCAGTTTCTTTGATAGCAAGTGGGTAAGGGTGTGAAAAGGAGCTGAGACAAGAAGAGGGTGAGTTTGTGTTTTACGTAAGAACATCCTACTGTGCTCTGCAGCATCGGACATTGACGAATCATCAGTGATGCAGCTGGCCGAGATGGGTTTCCCTCTGGAAGCGTGTCGGAAGGCCGTGTACTTTACTGGAAATATGGGAGCTGAGGTGGCCTTCAACTGGATCATTGTTCACATGGAAGAGCCAGGTAGGTTGTTGGAAAACTGAATGGCTTTGGAATCTGACATGATCTCAAGTGATGCTGTACCTCGGTCTTCCATGCCCTGTGGTTGTGTTTCAGAAAATGAATTTTCAGATCATAATCTACTATGGTGGTGGGGGAACTTTGCCTGTGTAGCAAAGCCATAATCCTTCCTTCTTCCTCTTTTTAATAAAGAACAATTTTATTGAGATATAATTTCACCTTTAAAAATGTTTAATTCACTGTCAAAACTACCACTGGAAAGGTGTGGGTATGCTTCTAGCTGACAGATGATGAGGTTTTGAAATAGAAACATGTGCATGAAGAAATGGGACTGTTTAGCTTTTCCTTTAATCTACTTTATTGAGATAGAATTCACATCATAAAATTAACCCATTAAAAGTATATTTAATTGGTTTTTAGTAAATTTGCTTTGATGGGGAGAGTGATGTGATAACATACATCTGAGGAGGTGTGAACCTATACCCCTAAATTATATACAGTGTCGTAAACCAGTGTTACCTCAATAAAGAAAAAACAAACAAAAAACTTGCATAGTTGGGCAACTATCATCACTATCTAATTTGTTAACATTTTTGTCCCCCTAAAAGAAATCCTGTATGCATTGACAATGACTTCCTGTTTTCCTGCTCTCCCAAGCCTTTGGCAGCTGCTTATCTGATTTTGACTCTATGGATTTGTCTATTTTTTTTTTTTAAGATTTATTTATTTATACAAGCACTGGGTACAGTCAGAGGCGTGGGAGGGTGAGAGAATTCACCAGAGCCAGAGCGGAGAGTAGAGCAGGCAGACTGACGAAGTACACTGCTGAGGGGAGCAGTGGGCGGCAGGAGAGGTCTACGCGCCATGTGGGACCCTCGCCCAGAGGCTGGGGATCGAACTGGTGCTGCAGAGGCTGCGGGCAGCTTCGCAACCCAGCGTTCAACCGCTGCGCCACCGGGGAGGCCCTGATTTGTCTATTTTGGGTTATGTACTTTGAGATCGTTTTGTGTCTGGGTTCTATCACTTAGCATGGTGTTTTCAAGATCCATTTATATTGTAGCATGTATCAGTACTTTTTAGCCTCAATAGGCAACATGCATAAAAGGCAATATGCAATAATATTATTGATGGACATTTAGGTTGTTTCCACTTTTTTTGCCTAATATGAATAATGCTGTTATAAAAGTTTTCATATGTAAAATTTTTGTGTATAAATATTTCTCTTGAGTGAAATTGCTGTGTTACATGTTTACAAGTTTAACTTTTCTGAGGAACTGCCAGTGCTTTTCAATGGTGTCTGTAGCACTTTACATTTCCACCAGCCAGTGGAAGAGGCCTCCAATTTCTACACATCCTTATGAACCCTTGTTGTTAGTGTTTTTATTATACCCATTTCAGTGGGTGTGAAGATATATAAATGCTTATTGGCTATTTGTATATATTTGCAGACGTGTCTAGTCAAATCCTTCGTCCCTTCTTGATGTGATTAGTTATCTTTTAATTGTTGAGTTTTGAGGATCCTTTTTATAATTCTGAATACAAGTACCTTACCAGACATATGACTTGCAATTATTTTCTCCCATTCTTTAGGCTGTCTTCTCACTTTCTTTATGGTGTCCTTTGAAGCACAAAACATTTTAATTTTGATAAATCCATTTTATCTAATTTCCTTTGTCACTTACGTTTTTGATATACCTAAGAAACCATTGCTTAATGTAAGGTCACAATGATATAGAATTTATCTTCATAAAAAGGGGAGGAGCACTGCAAAGATTTACTCATATGTTTTCTTCTAAGAGTTTTGTGGTTTTAGCTAGTATATTTAGGTCAATGATCCATTTTGTTTTCATTTTTATGTAGGGTGTGAGGTAGGGGTCTAACTTACTTATTTTTGCATAAGGATATGTACTTTTCCCAGCACCATTACATGAAAAAACTTATTTCCCCATGGTGTGGTTATGGTGCCCTTATTGGAAATCAATTCAATTGACCATAAATATCTGGGTTTATTTCTAGATTCTCAATCTGTTCATTTGGTGTGCATGTATTATGTGTTCTTCTGCGAGTATCAGAATATCTTTATTTTTATAATTTTATAGTTTTTTTTTCCTTCTTAGCTTTAAAGTATTATTTATATTAAGATCAAGAAGGAAAAGGGCTGAGTATATTCATTTTTCCCAGATTTTGCTGAACCACTGACCATGCCTGGTTATGGAGGAGCAGCTTCTGCTGGAGCCTCTATATTTGGTGCTACTGGATTGGATAACCAACCTCCAGAGGAAATTATAGCTATCATTACCTCCATGGGGTTCCAGCGAAATCAGGCTGTTCAGGCGCTTCGAGCAACGGTAAGCATGAAACCGTGTGGGTCAATACTCTCTTCTTACTGGGGCTACTTTGTTTCCCCCAGTTGCAAGTGAACCTTTCCAATGTCCTTTGATAATTTTGAATCATGTGTGTCTCACTCTGCACCCCATCCACCCCATCATGACCCACAGAGGTTTATTTGCACATAGTGTACTACTTATGTACCTATGTATATATGTACATAGATGTCTCAAATAGATGATTGAGGGTATCATACACAAAATATAAGGATAGGAAGTTAAAAACAATAGGGAGATAATACAACTGCGGCAAGGTGATCAAGTGAAAGACACTCCCTATCATCTTAATGTTTAATAAAGAGATCGGAAATTTTACTTGGAGTTTGCATTAAAGTTAAGAGAGATGCACGAAATTCTTTGTTCTGTAAAAAGCATAATTTCTCCTAAAGAACTATCTTACAGAACAGAGAAATGTTTTCAGAAATCATCCTAGAGAATGGCTTCTTGGAAGTATCTGCTTCTTTTTCTCTCTGCAGAGATGTTTCTTTCTAAAAGAAACGAGACTGAAAGGTAGATAAAAGACTTCCTCTTGCAATGAGGAGAGCTGTTTAATATTATTTAATATTGAGGGAGAGTATTTTTTTAAAGCCCATCTTCCCTTGCTACACCAAAATCCACTTTTGAGTCAAGGTCTGCTCATTCATTCTTGCCTATCCTGACTGGTTGCCTGCTAGCATCCATTGCTGAGGTCACGGAAGCTCATAGAAATGTGACTAAAATTGCCTGTATCCATTAAAAATTCCCGAAATGTCTTCACCACAGTCTGTTTCACTTGGAATATTTTGTTTCTGCCCCACTTATTTCACTTACCTATTTCATTGGAGAACCTGACTGCAGTTTCTTTAACCTGCCAGTGATATCATAAATGGGAAGACAGAAATATTTTTAAGGTCAATTAGTTTGAACTGCATGGAGCTAGTGTAAAACATTCACCTTAACTAACCAGTGTTGTCATCACTAATCAAAACATTTATCTTGTCTCTATTGCAATTCAACTGTGCTGCCAACTTTTAAGGAGAGGTGCCACTAATGTAGTACTCATATTGGCATGCCTCTACTGTGTGTGGTGCAGAACATACAGTTGGAAGAGACTCTAGTTATGTGCAGTTAGCGTGACTTTAGAAAGGACTGTCCTTATATAAACACCATACTCTGGTATTCTGTACCTCATTGTTGTCAGCATCAGCCTATAGAAATGCTGAGCTAAAGACTGACATGACTTTGGAACGGTCATCTGCTGATCATTGGATTCAATTACAGACCTCAGTTGGGAGACTTGCAGAATGCCAGCCAACTGCATATACAGCAAACGAAGCACTTAGGATTAATAAATTCAGACCTCTTGTCCTATTTGCTTGACATGGTGATTCAAATGGTCAGAATATAATGAGGCCTAGGGACTACATACACTATAAAAATGTCTTGTTTTATTAGAATCATAACCTGGAAAGAGCTCTGGATTGGATCTTTAGCCACCCTGAGTTTGAGGAAGACAATGACTTTGTGATTGAGATGGAGAATAATGCCAATGCAAACATTATTTCTGAGGCCAAGCCTGAAGGACCTAGAGTCAAGGATGGATCTGGAAGTAAGTTCTTGCTTTAGGGGTTGTCTAAGTGATTGTGACTGAACACTCAGCTCACATTCCTCCCTCTCTCTGCTCCACACTGAAACCTTAACAGCCATTTAAAGGCAACACAGGTCTCGTCTCTCAAGGATGGTGCATTTTGCCTACAACTCATCTCACCTTGTGGTGTGTGCACTTTCAGGTTTAGCACCAATTTTGACTTTGTCCTTTGATGTGAAATATCTTTATGTGCCATGGAAGTTTTTGTCCAAAGAGGGTACTTATTTTCATGATATTTTTGGAATAGTTGGAAAGTAGTCTTATACCCTGAGCTGTCATTACCAATACCAGCTGTTGATATTTTTCTGAAGGGCTATCAGGATGTCAGAAAGAGATGCCATACATCAATATTTTACCTTTTAATATCAAACATTTATTTATCTCACTATGTGTAAGGCACTGCTCTAAGTACTTTGCATATGTAGTAATCCCTCCCTTATCTGTGGATTTGCTTTCAGTTACCTGGGTCAACTGTGCTTAGAGGATATTATGTATAATAAGGTATTTCAAGAGAGAGAGAGACTACATTCACATAACTTTTATTACAATATATTGTTATACTTGTTCTATTTTTTATTAGATATTACTCTCTTACTGTACCTAATTTATAAATAAAAATTCATTATAGATATGCTTATATCTATGATGAGGGAAAAAACATAGTATATATAGGATTTGGTATGACCCTCAGTTTCAGGTCTCTGCTGGGAGTCTTGGGACATATCCCTCATGGATAAGGGATAGGGGGCAGCTATAACACTCTCCTAACCCTCTCCATACCCATTGTATAGGTAAGAACATAGAGGCACAGAAAGATTGGGTTCCTTCCTCAGAGTCACACATCTCTTAAGAGGTGGTGCCAGAATTGAAACCCAGAATCCATGTTTTTCACAATCATGATACCCTGTGTCTTGGGGTGCATTGCTTAGAGAATAAGATTCAGGCTCCTTGGACTGGCATCTTAGCCTGCTTTGCCCACACCTGTGGTTCAGATGCCTGAAATTGTAGCCACAGACTGGTTATCTGTCATTGACCCTCATCTCATTGCTTCCAAGGCTTTGCTCAGGTTACTCTTGCACTGTAATTGTGAAATGCCTTTCTTTTCCTTCAGTGCATGCTACAAGTCCTACCACTATTGAGAACTTGGCACTCTCTGGAGTGCCTTCCCAGATCCTTGTAATATGCTCATAGTAATGGTCATTATTAACAATACTTCCATTTGTGCCATTTTTAGTCTTCAAAATAACCTTGTGAGGGAGATTCCATTATTATTCCCATTTTACAGATGAAGAAACTGAAGTGGAGAGGCTAAAGTAACTTGGCAAGGTCACATAGCTAGTGGGTAGAATTAGAATTCCCACCCAGTCTGCCTCCACCATCAGTGCCTGTACCCACTTAACATTTGTTCTTTTATTAGTAGAGGAAGCAAATCAATCTTGCACTAATACTATCATGTGAATCCCCGTGTCTCCCACTTGACTGTGAGATTGTAGAGGGTAGTGGCCATTTTATTTTTATAAAGTTCATGGTGTTTAGCACATAGAAAGTACCAAGTAAATAATCATTGGGTTAAATTAAATGTACATTAGTGGCATTTGTCCCAGTAATCATCTAGCTGTACCTGGATGTAGCTATTCAGTCCCTTTTCAGGCCTAACTTGTATCCAGCTAGAGAGGAAGGGTGGGAGGAAGACTTTCTTTTCTTTTATACATAATTGAAATTTCTTCATGAAAACTGTTTTAGTCCCTCCTGGGAAAGAAAAGAAAAGAATGAGATGTAGTTCTCCCACCTTCCATATTCATATAAAGGGTTTTGTATTACTTTTCGGAAATCACCGGCTTGCCTAAAATATTAAAAGCTGTAATGGACAAGTTACTCAATAATTCATGGGCAGGATTTATTACGTGTTACATGTCCATTGGTTCGCTGCATCCTTGATTTTCTGTAATGGGCTTTTTTTTCGGGATGATGAGTCCTGGCTGCAGAAGGAATAAACCACAAGATGGAGCCAGAATACAGCTGCTCAGCTGTTTGGCTGCAGAGGAGGGAGAGTCCGGTCATTAGGGTTTCCAGTCCTCTGATGGAGCCTGGAGGAACCAACCACTGTCTTGAAGACACTGTTAATGACACGGAGTGGCCACAGCACGTCCATGGGCTTCCTGTACTGAGTGATCTGCAGATATTACTGGCACTGCTGGTTTTGAGTTGCATCCTTGAATATGATGACGTGATGCTGCTTTTAAGCACCCTTTACTGAGAAAGCACTACGGGCCAGACTCTGTGCTCTTATTCTTCACTGTCCCCAAATTTAGGGCACGGTGGGTGAGGGAGGGGAAGGAGACAGTGATGCACTGGGAGAAATCAGATGTAGAATATGTAGAATCTAAGGGCAGTGATTAGGTGAAGAATTTATTTATGCAAAATGAAAAAAGCATAAACCACCCTCTTACCAAATTCATTTGGTGTCTGATTTTACAGAATAGATGTTTTTATTTTAATTTTAAAAAATTAGTTTCTTTTTAAATGACGAGATGTTTTTATTTTTATTTTTTTTGAAGATTTATATGTATACAAGAACTGGGATACAGGCCGGAGGTGCGGGAGGGAGAGGGGCAGTGAGAGGATTCACCAGAGACAGAGCGGGGAACAGAACAGGCAGACTGACTGAGTCACACTGCTGAGGGGAGCAGCTGGAGAGACAGGAGAGGTCTGCTGCACCATGTGGGTAGCTCCCTGGCTGGCCAGGAATGGAACTCGTGCTGCAGAGGCTGCAGATACTTCACAGGGCTGCAGTCAACCCCTTGTGCCACCAGGGACACCCTGAAGAGATGTTTTTAAAGTAGCACTGTGCCTGGCCCATGGAAGGTGGTTAGCAAATGAATGAGTGAATGAAGAATTTAATGAATGCTATGAATGGGTCATAGGATCATTTTTTAGCACCTCACTGGTGCCACATGGAGGACCTGGCAGTGTGCTGTTGTGCTGTGGGGTAAATCATGGGAAAGGAGAAAGATGATTTCCTATGCTTTCCTATACTTTGCTGCATTAGCATTCTATCTGTATATGTTATTTTATAACCTGCTTTCCCCCTAACTATGGGTTTACAAATGTGCATATCTAGATCACTGAACATACAGAAATAATATTTCTTTATTATGGAATATATTCCATGTTATGTATCAGCATAGTATAATTTACATACCTAATTTTAGGCCAAACCAGTTACCATCTAAATGAAAGACAGTTACAGAAAGTGTTTCAAGTGATGAGATATGCACATTCATGAGATGATAAATGATTTTTAAATAACAAATTGTTTACAGGATGAATTCAGTTCATGGAAGTACCACTGCCCCCTTTAATGCCTACCCAGGTAATAAACACTTGTTCAACATTTACATTTCTTTCTCTTCCCTCTGGCCTTCCTTTTTTGTTTACTAAAAATAATGTGCAAATGCACACACTTGGACCCTTATTTGATTATTTCTTTAGGGTAAACTTTTGGAAGTGAAGGTTGTGAGTCAGAACTGCATGTGTTTAGTTTTAATTCATATGATCACATGCCCCCCAGAAGATGCACCCCCTGCATTTCCAGTAGCAGAGGTGGCTTCTCTGTCCCCATCCCTCCCTCTGGAGCTGGGGAGGGGGCTGAGCATTCTTCATATTTTTCATATTTTTATTTCCTCATTGTTTTCTACTTGGGTTAATGACTTCCTTTTCCCCTTTGGCCCATTTTCCTATTTTTTGGAGGCTTTTGGCTGCTTTTTTTTTTTTTTTAATTGATCTGTATGAAAGTTTTCATATATTGTGTATTAGTTTGGGAAGACCTGGTAGCTTTTGAATATGGAGGGAAAAGGGTTACCTATTCCTTTGATTCTTGTCCACCCTCTTCTCCCCTCCCGTCCCCCTGCAAAACTATCCTGTGCATTTCTTAATTCTCAGAATTATATTTTCTGAGTTATTTCTGAATAACTTTTTTCCCATTATATTTTCTAAATTGTTTATCACTAAATTTTGAAAAGTTCCTGATCTTATAAGTGTCCCTTCTGCAGGGATTTGATTACAATTACATTACAGATTAACTTTAGGAAATATATATTCTGTGTAGGTAGTTTAAATTCCCAAGCCATTGCTTTTTAACCTTTTTTTTTTTCTTTGGTTGGTGAATTGGTGGAGACTTTTGACTTGGGAGTAATGAATACAATTTAAAGATCATTGCCGTATAGGAGCCAAATGGGGAGTCAAAACAGACAGGCAGACAGGCCAACCAATAAAGCCAGCAACCTCAGTTTTCAGTGTCCTAAGTAGCAGGAGAGCTGAGCCAAAGTAGTCTAAGCAAAAGGGGAAGTAATGTATCATAAATGCTGGAACGTTCCAGGGGGACTTGACTTGAAAACTTTCATCTGGATGTGCCCACGGCTGTATTTCCTGTGGGCTGGTGCCTATGGCAGTTTCTCCCTGGTGGCCACAAGATGGCTCCCAGTGCCTCCTTCTGTATGTTTCTAGATTAAAACCCAGCAGAAAGAGCTGGTACCAGAATACCAGCAAAGATCCTGAGAATCTGAGGCTGAATTGTATTTCCCCCTTCCCCTTCATGGTCACCAGTTTGAAGCTTGAGTATGGAGACATCTTCCTTCCTGGCACATGAGCTGAGAACTTGTTAAAAATGCAAACTCGTCGGTTTTCCACACTGGACCTGCTGAATTAGGACCTCTGGGGCAGGCCCAGCCGCCTGTGTTTTAGCAGACCTCTAGGTTGTTCTAATTCAGCTTAAACTTGAGAACCAGTCTTGGCTGAAGAAGGAGGAGCATGGTTACTAGTTCATCACTCTACCAAGTTAACACTGAAAATGATGAGGTAGGTGTTTGAATTGGAAAAGGGGACTAGTATAAAGACAGGGATTGAAGAAGCACTTTGTATTAGATTTCTATTTTAGGGAATTTGTTCATTAAAAATCACAT